CTCTGCTGGTCCTAATAGCTTTAGAGTGCTTCTGATTGACCGTAGATTTCCCCCTGGTCACAGTAACAAACAATCAGAATGAAAGATCAAGATATCAAAACAGAAGACCAACAGTTTTTGACAAGAAACAATGAGCTTATAAACATCAAGCGATGGTTAACATTCAAATTTTTGTGACTAGAAAGATTTACAGAAGAACATTCATGAAACTAGTTTATTCCTCAATGAATAAAAGTAAAATTTTGATCTACACAAATGAGAAAACCACAAAACGTATCAAAATATCTGGTTTCTTTAATTTCTTTAAAGATGGACACTTAACTATCAGAGAGAAATGTGATAAATTTCTCTTTACAATGCTTAGAGCTCCATATTAAGCACGGGTGGAAAGCAGTAAAACAGAAGGACATGAACACTAGCAAGCAAAAACAAAGACAAAACCGATCTGCAAAGTTGTCATCAATCGGAAAAAGAGAAATCTCAATCACAGTTCTTGGTACTCTTCACACCAGCATCAGGACCAATACACGACACTCCTATCAGTTCTCACATGATTTTCAGTAACCAAAACAAGTGAAACTACCTAAATAAGGCAAGTGATGCGAACAAAAGGCGAAATAGTTACCTTTCTTGAGACCAGGACAATGATCCAATCCTTTGAAAACAACAGGAACATCAACCTTCAACTTCTCCCCATCATCAGCCCATACGAAGACTAAATTAAGTATCTTTCCAGTTTCCTCGTCTCTATGAATCTGACAGAGACAGCCAACCATACTAATCCTATCAGTAAATTCACTCACTCACAGTATCTGCATTTTACTAAATTCAGTGAAATCGGCGACACTGAGAATACCTTGAGGGGGAGAACTCGACCCGATTCAACAAGTGTCGAAGAGCCCTGACCAGCTCGGATCTGTAGCTGGAAAGTGGTAGAACAGAAGAATGGGAGACCAACAGAGTCAATAATAGACTTAATCTGCTTCTTATCCGCCGTCAAAAGCTGCTTCCTCGAAGCTCCTCGCTTCGAAGCGTCAGTCTCGATAAGCGACTGCGGGAAAACCACGGCGGGAATCCGGCCAATCGTCCGGTCTCGAGCCGATACTCCTCGACCCGCGGCTTCGCGTGGAACCGCCTGGATCGTCTGATACTGATGAATACACCGAATCGATCGACCGAATGAAGACGCCGGCAGATCAGCCACCTCCGCCGTCACGGATCTCAGGCCACGCAACCATTTCGCCATCTCAGTGTGGTTCAGAGATCGATGTGACGTTAGGGTTTGTTTTCCCTTCAAACTCTCAGACGTTGGAGGAGAGGGGTTTAAGCTCTGTGGGCTTTCTATGGACTGCACTAAACAAAAATTGGGCTTTAGTTAGCCCATAATAATAGTAGTCTTCGTATTAATTATGAGTTCATATAATATTTTGATTTTACAGCCATTTTAAAAGCAAAGTTGAGGTGAAATCCATATAAAAACATAATCGCGAATTTGGTTGTTAATTTGTTATATATACATAACTAGACAAATGATATGACGATTAAGATGTGATTACGAATAATATGGTCGTGCTTTTTTGTCTTTATCGTAATAACAACATTCTTTCGTTGTCTTGATCTGATTTTTCCAAGCCGTATCAGTATGCAGTTGGTCACACGCTAAACTTATATTTACGTCCGTCCATAAGCCAAAAAGATGCAAATGTGTCCATACCTTCTCTGATTATTTAATTTTGACTTATTTTCTTACCAACCAATATTGCTTATTTTTATATGTTTCTTTACATTATTACAAAATGCCCTATTCTTCTCGTTTTGCTCACTATAATTGTGTTTTCACATCCTTCACTTTTTTATATAAAACATTTCTATGGTTGCTGGTGGGATTGGTGTTTTGTTGAAACGTTTTCTAATATATATAAACTTAAAATGAAAAGATATGAATATGTGCTTGATCATTTAAATCGGTCAACATGATATGGTACGAATATGATACTACATGATTCCCAATATAATGGATTGATTCAAGAGTGATATGAGATATGCCTATATGGAAACTCCTCCCAGATGTTGTGACTTATGATGTTAAACCATGAACCAAAGACAATGCACCGTTTATTAAATCAATAGCTACGTTAGGTATCAGTAGTCAGTAGTGCTGACTCAGTACCATGCATTCACCCATTGATATGGTATGTAATATCTATATATGTCATGTGGTATGGTTAAATCTGAAGTAATATTTTGTTATGCTAATTTCATGTGATTTTATTGGTCTGCTCTCACTATGCATACTTTGAAAATTAGTTATTTTTTTTTTGTAAGACTGTAACTAGAGGGGAGACAATCCGAATATTTACAATAAGAGTCGCAATAACAACAATATCATGCAAAGGAGGAGAGAAGGTCCGATACACGTGACAATGTCTATCATAGCAAATAACAAAGTCAACATGCTGACAATAATATATAACAAACCCCAACAATTTTTTTATTTTTTAACTTATTATATGTTTTAGAATGAGACAAAACAAATATAGTGTTTTACCATACATCCAACTTCCTTCCCCAAATTATCAACCTCACAACACCACATACATAAACAAGTATTCATATTTATAAATTTACAGCATAACCATTTATAAACAAAGAAAACTATGCATATTTTGAACTGAAAATTAGTCGTGAGAACATAACTTCAAAATTGGTAAAATAATTAGTTAAGATTTAAATAAAAAGAAACAGTTGTGTAAACTAATTTGTAGCTAGAAACATGTATATAACCAAATTATTTCGTTAACTTTTTTACAATGATAAATTTGCATAGTAAAACTTAAGTAATTATAAATTAAAAAAAAAAAACAATTATTATGTATTCATAGAAGGATGATATGATAATGATGTATTCATTTATCTTCTTTTTGCCTCTTAATTAAATTGGTCCCACCGTTAAACTTCCGACATATTCTATTGGCTATACAAAGATGACATCGTTCTACTCTAGTTATATCTGTAGAGCAATGCCATCGGATTTGCACGAATGAACACAAGTATAGTCTTAGATGTCCACGTCTCAAAGATCGGATCTCACAACTCCTAGATTTAGGTTTGGTTTTGCAAAAACTGGTTTATGAAAATAATTGAAGGAAGTAATTTAAAATGTATGATGCGTACGAGTACGTATGAAAAGTGCCATCGTATACCAACTTCTAACGCCAATTCCTTGTATAATTGTATATATATTTTTCTTCGTACGCGACTTTTCTACGTTTCTACGTTAATTTTTCTGCCTAGGTTTCATAAAACTCAACGATACAAATGGGAGAAAAAGTGAAAACCAATACTCCATTATTATTTTATCTATATGGGTATTTGTGCACCCTTGAAACTTTGGCTTTTAAAAATTAGTATAATTTTCTGACCTAAGCGTTATCTAACTTAACATGACTTTAAAAAATAATAATTTACATTTGTTTTTCAAAATGATTTTGTATGCAAAGTGTTAGTTTAGTGTCTATAATTCTAATAAAAATATAATAATAACCGACTGTTAGTTGAAACTATAGTTGAGTTTTTTGTTAAAACATATGATCATCAAATCGATTTGATCGTTTTCATTGGAAGTACTTACAGTAGTACTGAACGTAAATATGTTTTTGTTTGCAAGTAATAAAACTGCATAAGCTTGAAAGTGTCCTTATCAAAAGGATTTTTCTTTTCTGCGCGAACCAAATTTTTGATGTTGAAATAAAATCCTAACTAAAATATATGGATTATTATATATTATCGAATTTTTATGGATCTTAAATTTCAAAAGTTTTCAATCTCCCGCTTAATACTAGATACATATGTCAGGGCATCTAAATCCTTATTCAGTTTTGTGAATCTTGTTGTAAAAAAAATTAAAAGACGAGCCAGAAAAAAAATTATATAGGAATTTTCGCAAGTCCATGTGGTGTAACTTTGACCTAACTTTATTTAACTGCGTTGATTATTTTGGTTCTGAGGCGCACGTGCGGTAACTCATAGTGGGGATCGGTCTCGAAAATACGATATTGCCCTTAATAATGGTCAACATTTGTTATTTACAATTTGTTTCATAGTATACATTTACTACTTTTAGGAGCAACAATAACACAAATTAATCTACTTTAAAAATTGTTTTATTCTTCATTAAAAATATTTCGTTTTTAATTATTATGCTGTATTTCCAGTGCAAAACTTGTTGTTTATATAAAAATAGTAGTAGTACTCGTAAGCAGCTTCATCTATTTTATATATAAAATAGTACTCGTAAACATTCAATGATAAACATTCAATGATATATACGTTCCTAGTCAATTACAGATCAATAAGAAGAAGAAGAAAAAATAATGTAATCAGTGATGAAAACACAACCATGTGCAACATTAGACTTGTGTTGAACATAACGAAGCACTTTAATTCCATCTCCAGTGGGCATGTGACCTTTAATCATCTTACTAAAAGTACGTATTTGGGATTAACACAAAAGAAATTAAGTTTATCTATTTCTGTTGATGTGTATGCTTAAATAAATAAATTCTCGGGTTCAAATCAAATAATTGGACTTTGGCCTGAATCTGTAATATATAAAGAGCTTTTGTTTTCGTTAATAATAGGATAAAACAAAAAAGAAATTGTTGTATTCGTGGGGCTGACTAATTCAAGTAACAGTGTAACGATTTCGTATCAATTTTGAGATTTTTAGATATGAAAATGACTTATCTCTAGACGAAGACAGCAGTTAGAGAGAGTAATTAAGTCATCATCTACATAATTACAAATGAAATAATAATAATTCAGGGATTAAACTGTAATTCCAACACGTGGTTGCTTAGAACTTAAAACCCCATATTTAATAATTATGAGATCCAACGGCTGTGAACAGCACTCTCATGTAACAATCAACGGTTATGGTTTGTGGCGTACTCACTGATATAAAAGATCGTCCCCGTCATTAGAAAAGCCTTCCTTTTTTTTTCCATTTTCTTCTTTCTTCTTCGTCATCTTTTTTTTTTTTTCTATCTTTTTGGTTTGTATAAATCTTCAGCCTTAGGTAGAATAAATTGGAGATCAGATCAAATAATCGGGTTTTCTCTGGTTTTCTCATAAACCCTAGAACCCGATAGTAACTTCCTACTCACTCAACCTATCATGGAATCAAACGATGAAGAGAGTGAGATATTACGAAGCTAGCGACAATAAGATCAGAGAAGTAGATAAATTTGTTTTGGAAAGGACAAAGGATTCGTAGTTTTAATTGAGGTAAATCTGATTTTTTCCTTTTTTTTTATAGATGATTTGATTTAGTTTCAAAAGTTTTGATTGACAGAGATTGATATTGATAGATTTTTTTTTTTTTTCATTTATGATGATTTCATATCTTGTTTTATTTTCTTGAATCTGTTGATGATCCATCTTCTTCTTATACCACAAGTTTCCTTTCAAAAGAAGTAGAATTTTCTTGCCTTATAATTAAACAGATCTGAATATACTTCTCTTGGCCATCTTGATCCTAATGTTTATGATCAGTTGTTTCTTTCCATTTCACTATTCTATTACTTGTACGGAGTTTTATTTTTTTTTGTTGTAGCACGAATCACGATAACATTTATTTACAAAACTCTTAACTTCATAGGGTCTCTCATCTAATGACTTACACGAAGTTTCCTCGATGCATTTATTTTCACGATCCCTATTTCATTATTTTCAAGAAATTTTTGTTCGTATTTAATTGAATATATTTTTCTTTCTTTGTATTCTTCTCATCAGTCTCTCAAGAGAGAGAGAGAGAAAGGAAAAAAAAATGGCGTCTTCAAGCTCTCCTTGCGCAGCTTGTAAATTCTTGAGAAGAAAATGCACTCAAGAATGTGTCTTCGCTCCATACTTCCCACCAGACCAACCTCAAAAGTTCGCATACGTTCACAAAGTCTTTGGAGCAAGTAACGTCGCTAAGCTTCTCAACGAGCTCGCCTCTAACCAAAGAGAAGACGCAGTGAACTCTCTATTCTACGAAGCCGAAGCACGACTACGCGATCCTGTTTACGGTTGCGTCGGTTTAATCTCAATCCTTCAACACCGTCTTAAACAGCTTCAACACGATCTTGAAAACGCCAAGAAAGATCTCGCTACGTACGTTGGTCCCCAAGCCATGCTCCCTATTCTCCAACCGCCTCAGCCGCATTTCATGTCCCTGCCGCCGCAACCTCAGCGGCCATCTTCGTCCTCAGCGTCTGTGTTGACTCAGCATCATCATAACTTGTTGCCGATGATGGCTATTCCAACTGGACAATTGTACCAGCAGCAGCAACAGATCTTTGAGGCTCAGCAGTTAGCAGCCGTTGCGAGGGAGCAACAGAACGATATGTTTAGAGCTTATGGAGGAGGAAGTGCTAGCCCACACCATCAAAACCAAGCTCAAGCTGAGATTTTGAGGTTTAACAATGATTTTGACTCTGTACCGGCCGGTTCAGTTACGGTAACAGGATTCAATCAATTAAGCCCGGGTGGTACAGCGGTAACCGGAATGTCTCTGGGAGGTAACTTTGTTGATAGTCCTTCCACGAATAATAATTACCATACGGACCAGCAACTACACCATCATCATCAGCAACAGCAACATCATGAGGCTCAACTATTCATACCTACACAGTCTTCTCAGCCGCTACCGCTTCAAACGCAGGAGACGCAAACGCAGACGCAACAAAATTCAGAGAGCGAGGAGGGTAGAAGGAGTGTCATTGGTTAATCTCTCGCTAATTGAGGAGTGAATAATATTAAAAAAAAAGAGAGGGATTATTAAAAAAAAAAAACACAAAGATACGGCCTTTGACCTTCTCGCTTGCTCGATAAACTCTCACAAAATTTTCTAAGGTACGTGGCAAAAAAAACAAAAACTCGATTTTAATTTCCACTCATGATATAGAATTAGGGTTTCATATAGATATTTTTCATTTTCTCTGCATTATGAATGTTCTTTATTTATGGTATAGTACAGTGACAGTGGTACAGAGGAGGTTTTGCTCATTATACATATATAACATTTAATGAAAAAGCCTTGTCATTTCTTCAATAACTCTCCTACTCTTTACATAGCCATAGCCCATATTTTTAAACAACTTCCTTTTTGTTGGATTCTCTGAACAATGATGCATTAACTAACCTAGTTATATATATATATATATATATATTTTTTTTTTATAAAAGTAGGGTTTAAAAGAAAAAGAAAGAAAAATTTCATGGTGGGTCACATCACTTCACCAATTCTTGATTTAGACTTGTGTGATATGTAGTAATATGTTCTACTCTATCTGCCTAATAGAGATGAATTGAGAGAAAATTTTGTGTATCTTAAAGAGTCTAAGATTTGCTTACACCTTTCTGTCTGGAAATCTTTTAAGTGTTGTCCCATATGATACACTTTATTCCTTGCATGTATTAGCGTCAATCACATCGGTTAAGTTATTTAAATTACTTTAGTTTTTACTAATTTCCTCGAACTTTTCTTGCAGTTGGAAACTCTGACTTTGCTCAAGGCATTATGGACGCAATCGAGTTTTTCTTTCTTTCAAACAGCGAAAAGACACTCACCACGTAAAAGACAAACGACTCGTAGCAAAAGTCAGCGTTATTTGGTTGATTTTGAGAATCATCTTTGTATAGGCAATTTTGGTGAAGAGTATAAAAGTATACAAACCAAAGGCTCAATATCAGATTTCAGACTGAACAAAAGATCTCCCGCTCCGCTTCTTTAGCATGGAAACAAATACTTGTGCTACTTTACGTTTTTCTTTTTTTTCTTTTTTGTATCTTCTTCTTATTATTAATTTTGACATTTCTTTTTGTTTGAGTATAAAAAAGAGAAATTAGTGTTTTTGGTTGCAAATCTATTTGTAATTAGATTTCAAGAAGACGGTCACTTGGCCGTTTATCACATATCCGATGTCAAACCAAAGTATTATATAAAAACTATCGAATAACCCATCTTCGTTTTATCCTTATTCACATTTGTTATAACTTATACATGTCGTATTAGTTTAGATGTATAGATAGCTATTAATTTAAAAGAAGAAAAATGATATTTGAAGTTCTACATGTTTATTCAAAATGTTATAAGATAACCTCCATACAAATTTGTTTTTGAGGATAACCCACTTGTTAATTTTATAACTATCGATCGTGTTATATTGACTTAAATAAACAGAGTAAAGTTTATAAAAAAAACAATATAACAATTACAAAAAGGCTACAACAGTTTTTAAAAGAGAGTGTGCTATACTTGCTTATAATCAAACGCATATAATAATCATCAAGTAGCTAGATGAAGCTAAAGAAGTAGTTAAGTGTGAATGCTTGGCAATTAAGATTATGTTGGTTCATTTATTAACACTCTTTGACCATTCACCAATTTATATTTGGCTCTCTCTTCCATATCCTCACCGTTTTATAAACCCTCCCTTAAGAACATATCTATGTGTTTAATTCTCACGCATTCACTTGAATATAAACCCTAGCTGGCTGATAAACAGATATAACACCATTTAGTTTCACATAACTCATACCAATCTAAAGATTTTAAACTGTCATTCACTATTTCACGTACTCATATGTCCATACCATAATCATCTCAATCAGTAGGTATATCAATGTGAGTGTGGTTTAGATACTTTACCTGAATGATTCATGAGAAACATGGAGACTAAATGTTCATGTGCATGTGCATATAATAGTATATTAATCTCACCAGTAGGATGCTTAGTATAGCAATAAAGAGAAGGTGATGAAATTGATGAGCATCGGTCATTAAATTAAGCACTGACCCATTAATTGCGCACTTACCAATAAACCCCATTCACCCCTTATATTAACTTAAACAAAAAAAAAAAATATATAAAAAATCATACATACAGTGATACGTACAACTCTCCATCGTTAACACTAGTCACTAGTGTACCCTTCTTGGTACCATAATCAATATCTCGTGCCGCAATAAATCCCATATAAAGATTTCTAACCAGGTCGTCAATCCAACAGCCAATTAAATACAAGAGTCGTTCGTTGATTCTTTTAATTCAAGTGTGTATACATATGGACCGACAAAATAAATAAGCTAAAGTTTGACAACATGTCAATGCAAGTGCAAATATGATATAAAAAAACCGATGTTCATCCATGGTGTAACTGGGCTGGCCTTTTGGTTATATATTTAAAGGCCTTTTATCTGACAAAATTAGAGCAGGCCCATCAATTAAATTAAAAAATGCTTAAAAGTTGCCACGTCACTATCAAAGAAAATGTCATATCAAAACACCGTCCTCTGAGCTTCCGTTACGTTATTGCAGCGAGTGTCTACGTTAAACGCCGTCAAGTAACGGAATAAAGCTACCGAATATTCTTTTTCTCACATGGCACGTGACTTTCAAGCTTCTGTTTCCTTCTGGACTAAGTTTTTCTTTTTCCTCCAAACTATATATGTTTTTATAGAATATCTTCTTCTTCTTCTACTTATAATACAATGTATATATTAGTTATTACAACTGTGATGTATGCGTTTGATACAATTTCTTAGAATAGCAGGGAAAATAAATAAAAAGAATGGAAATGGATAATTACAGAGAATTTAGAGAGAAAAAGGTTGGATTTTATTAGGAGACAGGGCGAGTGAGGTCGCGCTTTTTCTTTTCGTCACTTTTTTTAATTAAAATTTTTAGTTATACTAGTTTCTTACGAAGCAACATCAAATCACCAAAACGCGGCGGCTCTTGTCGTATCAAAGCAACAGAACGTTGTCGTTTGGGGATTTATCCTTATCTCTTGGGGCAACCAATAATAATTGCCTTTTTTTTTTTTTTTTTTTTCTTTCGTCTTCTTCTTTCTTTCCTCATTCGTTCTTTTCTTCCCTCTTCTTGAAAGATATTTTACCATTTCGCGAATCTTCTTCTTCCTAGATTCGACTTAACAACACCAACATATTCGAATTCTTTTTTGTTTTTGTTTTTGTGTGATCAAAGAGATGGATCGAGCTACGGTGACCACCACAGCAGGACCTATGGATATGCCGATTATGCACGATAGTGATCGATATGACTTCGTTAAGGATATTGGCTCTGGTAATTTCGGAGTTGCTCGCCTTATGAGAGATAAACTCACTAAGGAGCTTGTTGCTGTTAAGTACATCGAGAGAGGAGACAAGGTTTTCTTCTTCTTCTTCTAATTTTATAAAAATCTCATCTTTTCCCCCTCTTTTCTATTTTTGGAAGTTGATGATATATTTATAGCTCAGTGATGGTTTATAGTGTCTGGTTTAGTTTCCACTTTCCAGATTTAGTGGTTTAGTACTTGAAAGTTTGCGTTTTTAATCGATGAAGGTTATGCTTTTTAATAAGTGTTTTGAGTTTTTTTAATGCTGTGATTTAAAGATGTGAGCTTCCTGTTTCTCTCAACAATTGAATGATGATTTGATGTATGTGTTTTTTTTTTTAAGAACCAACTTGAAATATTGGATACTGATAGGACTTTTCGTTGGTTTTGTGAGTTTTCAGAGTTGTGCTTTTGTAGATTAGGACAGTTGTGAATCACTTGTGGCTGAGTTCTTCTAACTGTGGGAGTTGCAGATTGACGAAAATGTTCAAAGGGAGATCATTAACCACAGGTCATTAAGGCATCCTAATATTGTCAGATTTAAAGAGGTATAGCTAAACACGTTTTAGTTCTTATCTTTTTGCAGTTCGCTAAGCCAGTGATCCTTTACACTCTGTTTACATTCTTTTACTTGAGTGTAGGTTATTTTGACGCCGACTCATCTGGCTATCATAATGGAATATGCTTCTGGAGGCGAGCTTTATGAGCGTATTTGCAATGCAGGGCGCTTTAGTGAGGATGAGGTTTGCATTGCTCTTTAGCTCAATGTTCTTGTCGGAATTTGAGGTTTTATCTTTGGTTTCTTCTTGTATAGGCTCGGTTCTTCTTTCAGCAGCTTATATCTGGAGTCAGTTACTGTCATGCGATGGTATGTTGAGAAAGTGTTCCATGGTCATGGAGCCTAAGGGCTTATATTCTCGTTCATTCGCACTTGTTAAATACTCTGCTTTTTCATTTGTTGTGAAGCAAATTTGCCATAGGGACCTGAAGCTGGAGAATACATTGTTGGATGGGAGTCCTGCTCCTCGCTTAAAAATTTGTGATTTTGGATATTCTAAGGTACCATACTAATATATATCATGTCTATACATCTTATGGTTCTTCTATTCTCACGCTAATTTCCTCTGTTTTCTATTCTCTGTCTATGTATAGCTCCATATACTTTGTCCAATGTCTGTTTTATTACTTACTTATGGATTTGTTTTCACAGTCTTCCGTTCTTCATTCACAACCAAAGTCCACTGTCGGTACTCCTGCATACATCGCTCCAGAGGTACTGCTTCGTCAGGAATATGATGGCAAGGTAAAGGAGGCTTTAAATCAGTTCCTCTGTAGTCTCTTTTTTTTTTTTCCATGGATGAATAACTAATAATTGAGAGTTACAAATACCAGATTGCAGATGTATGGTCATGCGGTGTAACCTTATACGTCATGTTGGTTGGAGCTTATCCGTTCGAAGATCCAGAAGAGCCAAGAGACTATCGGAAAACAATACAGAGAATCCTTAGCGTTAAATACTCAATCCCTGAAGACATACGGATTTCACCTGAATGCTGTCATCTAATTTCAAGAATTTTCGTGGCTGATCCCGCTACAGTAAGTCATTACTCTTTTTCATCTTATTCCTCAACCATCTCGGAATAACAATTCTGACGGTAGTTGTTTGTTGTAACAGAGGATTAGCATTCCGGAGATCAGAACTCATGATTGGTTTTTGAAGAATCTCCCAGCTGATCTAATGGACGAGAGCAACACAGGAAGCCAGTTTCAGGAGCCTGAACAACCAATGCAAAGCCTTGACACAATCATGCAAATCATCTCTGAAGCCACAATTCCCGCTGTTCGAAACCGTTGCCTAGACGATTTCATGACAGACAATCTTGATCTTGACGATGACATGGACGACTTTGATTCGGAATCTGAAATCGACATTGACAGTAGCGGAGAGATAGTTTACGCTCTCTAACTAAAAAGTTTTTTAAATGACCAAAACGCTTCTTTATATGTTCCGAGACCAGTGTTCTGATCCTCTGGTTTCAGTTTCTACCATTTTTGTATTGTCTCTGTTTGTTTCTTGTTTCTTGTTTCTTTTCCTCACATACATTTATGTAATGTAAAATATCATATCTGTGTATATATCTATATATAATGTATTCCAATGTTACAAAAACCTCACACATAAAAGCAAACTGACATTTAGAACAGTAGAAGCAAGTTCAGGTTATGTTCTGTTTCTTCCTCTGTGATTGTTAAATTCTTCATTTTTGGTTTGAATCTCTTCCATGAGAATGCAGTCTCTTCGTCGCATTTCACTTCCAGATTCTTTAGATTCTTCACTGAATCTGGTAACTCGCATCGATAACAATCTTTCATCGAAATCATTTCAAGTTTCTGCAGATTTCCAGTTTCTAGTGGCAACTTTTTCAGTTGGAAGCCACCAGAAACATCAAGAAACCGCAAATTGTTGAGTTTCTCGATCGTTTCAGGCAGCTCAATGAGATTACTACAACAACTGAGTCTCAGTATTTCAAGGTTCCTTAAGTCGCATATAGCTTCTAGGAGTCTGCAAAGCTTGTTACAATTTGTGACGCTAAGCTTCTTCAGTGAAACAACTTGAGAGATCCAATAAGGTAAGTCAACAAGGTTATAGCAGTAATCAATGTCGATTTCCTGTAAACTCTGTAAAGTTTGAGAAACATCAATTTCTGTCTCGGTGGCAGTCTCAACAACGTGACACAACGATAAAGACAGCTTCTCTAGACTGATCAGTTGCAACTGGGGAATTTCAAGCAAAGTGATTGAAACTTTCTCGAATCTAATCCGTTTCAGGTTTGGTAATGAGCTGAGACACGACAAATTGGTTAATTTTGCAGGATCAAGACCATGATTAATGATAAACACAACTTTCAGTTTCTTCATTGTAGCAATGAAGTTTGGTAATGCATAGTTAGATGAAGAGAGATGAAGAACTAAAGCCTCAACATTTGGACAATCCATTTCACCCCAACCTGATGAAAATGAGTCATCTGTAAACCCAAAAAAAAGAAGGAATTGATCAAATAAAGTTCTAAAAATATGGTTAAAGAGTGTGTGAAACAGAGTAAAGAGGTAACGATATTACCAGTAGAGATAGATAAGAGAGATGCAGTAATAACAATAAGTGGTTTTGGATTTATACACCAGTTTGGGAATTTGTTTTCTTGTATCTCCAAGTTTAGTCTTTTCCTTTCGAAGAGCGGTTCTTTTTGGCATTGATTTATAGCAAATTCTCTGAGGAAGTTGTCTTGTTTGACCAAGAACTCATTGTAGAAACCTTTATCACACTCATTTCTCCTGATATTATAGCAAAGTATATCAAATTTATGAAAAACAAAGTATAGACAATATTCATTAATCTCGCAGTATACATGCTTATCTACCAGGTCGTTTTTTTAATATCATGAATCTAGATTCAAAAAATATAGTGAGGTCAAGAAAAGCAACATACCCAAGAGGAAGAAGTTGAAGGAGATGGAGAGAGGCGAGTTCTTGGAGATAATTCATACAAAGAATACTCTCTTTACCGTAACATTCAGACCATAAGTCAATTATGGTGGAAGCTATTATCCTTTGGTCTTCAAGAAACGAGGACATGTCCAAGAAACACTCTCTAAGGTTGTGGGGCAAGGCATCAAAGCTTTGGATCGAAATCAAATCCATAACGCTTCCTATGAATGTGGAGAGGAGTTTTGTAAATTTAGATCGAATGTTGAAATCAAAGAAATTTACTCTTTTGACTGACTCTTGCTTTTCTTTTTTTGAACAAATTTACTCTTTCTTTTGACTGACTCTTTCTTTTATTATGAAAACGTGACTCTCTTCACAAAACTCATATACATGATGAGTTATAAAGGGAAAAGTCACGCGGGATTTTGAATGGAAACTTAACAAATCAAACCCAAAATAGAAGCTTAAGTTGAAAAGGATAAAAGGTGGTGACTTGACAAATACGATAGCCAGAAACGTTTTTGACCTTTTCTTCTGAAAGCTATATAGTCTAAGATAATATATATATATATATATATATATTTTGTCCAAAAAAAAAAAGATAATATATATATATATATATATCACATTGTAGATATTTTCAAAGAATTTACCAAAGATTATATTTTACAGTAAAATGAAGAATGTTGAATATTACTATTATAGTTTGTCAAATTTATTCAATATAGTTAAGGATCAGGGATTTAGTACTATTATGTGGCTCAAAAAGATTGACGTGCACAAAAACGTTTGGCATGACACTTTCTCAGTAGTAACAGAATTTTAATTTCTAGCTTTGAAATACAAAACTATCATCCAAAATTCAAATTCAATCATACATCTATTTGGAAATAATTATCGATTTATTATAGGGACAAGAGACTACCACGAATATATTGAATTTTTTTCAACAAAAATATATGTTATGTATAGTTTTCCTTTTTCTGGTTTTTTTTAACCATCAACCATTGTTTCCATTTACATTGGATTACATGAGAATAGCAAACACTACAAGACCCACAAAAGCTACAAAAATGTTCTTTCACTTAAAACTTAAAACATATGATTGAGCAAGTTCAGGTTATGCTCTGTTTCCTCCTCGTGAACCCTCAAATTTCTCATTTTTGGCTTCAACCTTTCCCACAAGAAGCCAGTTTCTTCATCGCATTTAACCTCCAGATTCTCTAGATTCCTCACTGAATCTGGCAACTCGCATCCCGAACACTTCCTCATCGAGATCTTCCTCAGCTTCTGCAGTTTGCCAATCTCTTGAGGCAACTTTCTCAATCCTAAGCAATGAGATATATCCAGGAACCGTAAGTTGCTGAGTCTCTCCGTGGCCTCAGGCAGCTCAGAAAGATTAATACAAGAACACAACCTCAACGTTTCCAGTTTACTCAAGTTTCCTATAGCTTCTGGAAGTGTATAAAGTTTGTTACAATTTGTGATGCTAAGTGTCTTCAATGAAACAATTTCGGAAACCCAATATGGTAACTCATCAAGATCATAGCAGTAGTCTATCTCAATCTCCTGTAAACTCGGTAAAACTTTAGGGACATCTATTTCTTCTATGTCATAGAAAACCTCACTGAAACTACACATGACCAAAGACAGTTTCTTGAGATTGCCGAGTTTCAACTGGAGAATGTCTAACAATGTGGTTGAAACTTTTTCCAATCTAATCCTTTTAAGGTTTGGTAATGAGCTGATACACATGAAATTTCTCAATCTTGCTGGATAAAACCCGTGATTTGTGATTGTCAAAACCTTTAGCTTAGTCATTCTGGCAATAAAGCTTGGTAAGGCATAGTCTGATGAAGAAATATTAAGAACAAGAGCTTCAACATTAGGGCAATCCATTTCAACCCAATTCGATGAGAACAAATCACCTGTAAGAAACAGAAAGATGAAGCATGGTTATACAGAAGTCATCATTTCCAAAAACAATGAAGATTTGTATAATTACTAAGTTCAACTGTCATGGAAAGAGGACTATGAAGAATCACCTGTAGAGATAGACAATAATGAGGCCTTAATAGTAGGGTGTCTTGGATTCAAACACCAGTCTGGAAATATATCCTCCCTTATTACCAAATTTACTCTTTTTCTTTCCACAATTTCCTTTAATTCACTTTGAGAGATAGCCAACTCCCTGAGGATATCATGTTGAGTGACTAAGAACTCATTGTAGAAACCTTCTTCTATATCTGTTCTGCTGATAAAGCAAATAAATAAGTTCCTCAAATGGTCGATGGCAAGAAACGGATTTGAAACATAAATAAACATACCCGAGAGGAACAAGTTTAAGCAGATTCTGGGAGGCAAGGTCTTCAAGGTACTTCATGCACAAAGTACTACCTTTACCGTATAATTCCACCCATATGTCTATTATTATCGAAGCACGTATCTTTTGGTCCTCAAGAAATGAGCCCATGTCTAAGAAACACTCTTTAAGATTGAATTCCAGAGCATCGAAACTAGGCTGCAGACATTCTAGCACAGAAGGAAGAGGATTACCAAGAATTGTTTCCCCATCATACCAGCTTTCCACCTGGCCTCTCCACGTACTTAGAGATCGTCCTTTGAGTGAAACACCGACTACTTCAATAACGATTGGAAATCCATTGCAACGTTTTAATATCTGCAATCCCAACCATGTGAAAACAAAAAGATTGAAACTATAGTTTCCCGCAACATGACAAATTGAAATTTGAATGTAACACCTCAAATCCGAAAAATTTTAGTTATCAGATTTCTTAGATCACAAATTTATAGGTTCATAGAGATGAGAAACTACTACCTTTTGGAGAAGATCTTCGTACTCAGCTGGAGACACGTTATAAGGTCTTGATGCCCACTGAATGAGAAGGGCTTTGGCATCTTCATCTTCCAAAGGTTTCAAATGATAATTGGAACCAAAACTCGGAAAGTCAGACCGAGAAGTCACCAAAATCTTATAATTGGGTAATTTAAGTTGAAACTTTTGAAGCAAGGACTCGGCTCCCCGCCAAACATCATCCAACACCAACAATATAGGACCCGTTTCTTTGAGTTCCTCAAGCAGTTTTCTTAAGCCAACAAGTGCTTGAGAATCGTTCTCAAATGTAAGTGCTTCGTAACCGTTGTGCTGGAGTAAATTCTGTACTATGACTCTAAAGTTAGGAGTACTTGATACTACATTGAAGAAGATATGCTTGAAGTTTCCTGCCAAGGGAAACTAGATGAGAAACAAGAACAACAATTCACGTGTAAAGATTGAAACTTTAAGACTAAATGTACATATACATACTTTTGATCTCTGGATCGTCGCAAAGCTGAGTAACCAGCGTAGTCTTCCCGCACCCAGGAGGAGCAGACACCACGATACCAACCAGGGAATTGTCAAGGAGTCTCCTTTTTAGCTCCATCAAAGGGCAATCCAATCCAATGATAACCTTATCAAGCTTGGGAACTGAACAAAGGTCCCTAAAGACGGGCGCATGAACACTCAAGACGTCCATTCTCTTACTTAAAACGCCAACCGAAGTCGCAAGGTTTCCCGTCAGATCCAACAGTTTCAACTGATTCCTATGCTGAAGAAGCTGAAGATCAATCTGACAGAAACTAAGCAGATCTTCATTGATTTTCATAATCTTTCCAGTATATTTAGATTTCTCGAACCACCGGACTTTTGGAAAATTCTCAACAGCTACACGAGCTCTGTCGATGGTATCCCTTAGTTCCTTAAGTTCCTTCACACCTAGGTCAAGCTCGTTTTGCATCAAATCGATCTGTTGAGTTAACGGAAGCAATCTCTCCATCGTGGATACGAGATCCTCGGACAATGGTTTGAAAGCTTTAACCTTTTTTGCCTCTTCAATCACAAATTTCAGTAGCTCGGAAAACACAGCTCCCCCAAGTGAACCTAATCCCAAACTAGCCCAATCGTTCATTCTTTCCCTTCGCAAGTTTAGAAAAAAACCCAAGGATTAAAAAAAAAAACAACTCTCAGATTTTGTCAGTAGAATCAAACACGTTGAGAAGGGAATCTCTCAAATATCAAATGCAGAGGTATGCTTCGCGAATTTGGAAAACAATATGTAAATTAGAGAGAAGGGAGACGAATATCAAAAGCATTTGCTTAATTGCAAAGCAATGCCGTCGCCTTTGACTTCAGCGGACTCACTCCCTTGCCGCGCAATAACCTCAGAATTGCGTCCGCGTCTGCGTTTCTGCCTTTCTACGTTAACCGCACGAGGTTCGATAGACCGAGCGTGTTTGGGCTTATTTTGTGGTTCGGTAGATTTATTCTAAGCTTATAAAGTAAAGGCCCATTATATTTTATTGGACTTAAATGTTTTCCGGTTTAATGGACTTCATATTTGATGTTCCCTTTCTTGGGCCATTTAGTTGGACCAACATACTGTATTTTTATCTCATGACATAATACAATTTTTTTTACTAAATAACATTTATACAACCAGAAGAATAAAGAGATTATCTGGTTGTAAAAAAATTGGATTAGTTTCACAATTTTTTGTGAATGAACGTGGTAAATTACGATTAAAAAAAAAGGAACATGGTGGATTAGTGGGTTTGCATTTATTTTAATATTTAAAATGATTAAATGAATTAGTTATGTTTTTCTTTTTGTTTTCCTTTAATCGTGGCTATTTTATTTTCGAATTGTCTTTTATAAATTATTTTACTGATTTGTCAACATTTAACTGGTGAGGTGATTTGTGCTTTATACTTTATAGTATAAAGGATATGTAAAAAAAATTATATAAAGCTTGATACTTTTCCATCAAATCTGTATTGTTAACTTTTTCATCAAAAACTTATAGATACATATTTTCTATACTATTTAAATAGTTTTCATGAGTTTACTTTTTTCCAATTGAATTGTTTTTTTAACAAAAAAAATTATTATACTTTTCTTATAAAATTGCATAATTTTTGCATAACTTTTGCACAAACTTTGCATAGTATGTGCATAATACTTATTTTTTTTTTTATAATTCTCTTCTTTTTATGATAAAGTATATCGCAAGTTTAATAAATAATCCTAGTTTAATAAATATTTTTTATTTTTCTTTATTTTAACTATAATCTATAGAAAAACATAAGTAAAATAAAAACAAATGGTTAGATCCTAGATCCATGCCCAGTTGAGCAACGATTTCTATTCGAACAATTATTTTTTACTATTCCCTACCGTTAGACTAGTGATGTATAAGACGATGGCCATAAAAGGTCGCGTAAATCCTTCATTTGCTTTATGGAGAATGAGGAGCTGTCCTACTGCCACCGATTCCGGGGATAACAATACACAGTTTCTTGATCTCCACTCCCCTGGAAAGTTCGACCAAAGTTACATCATGCAACTTGTCTATATGTGAAGCCCTTGAGGCCCAATAATCTTAGTTGTTCGTTAAGTTTTTTTTTCCTCCTTAAAAATCAGTAACTTCCATTTCAAAGCAATAGAAACAAGCGACATAGCATGTGACTGTCCAATTATTGTGAGACTTCCACATGTTCAAATCGGGTCAGCCCATGTTGACTTTTGTATATTACTCGTTTTGTATAAATAGTATAGAAAATATGTAACTATAATTGGAGAACAAAATAGTGATTCTTAAGAGTCAAGAAGAATATACATAAATCAAAATCAGTGGTGTTAATATTTTAATTAAAACAAACAATGATGATTAATCAACTACTCCTCACATGCTTAATCTTTTGTTGTAATAATATAAAATCCTCAAGGATACATCATTGTGTTGGTTACTCGTTCGTTTCTTATGTATTGTGATCTACATGCATGGACCTTTGATATGATCAGTGAGAGCGTCATGCTAATTGGAGATATAATTATAGAATACAAATTATTTAGTAAGTTGGATGACCAAAAAAAAAAAAAATTTATTTAGTAAATGGACCATATTTCACCGACTAAATTTCCCAACTACGAGTTTATTATTTTGATACTTTTGTCAACTATTGCAGCTTGCAGTTTAAAACTTTGGAACTCATCCAAACAAATAAAATAAATTTATCTTTATATAATCAGATTAGTAATAAATCGGCAAAAGCGGCACAACTTTCAATAGCTCAACGCCGATGCCCATTACAGACTCACAGTTGGACAGATGCTCTTTCCCCAAAAGCATACAAAAAAAAAAAGAAAAAAAAAAGAGAGAGTAGATAACTCGAAACTTCCTTAATTAGTGCCAAGAATTAATAAAAAAGCTTTCTAGTTTATTTGTTTTGATTTTCATCTTTGGCCGTAAACATGAAGAAAACTGGAAAAGCAAGAATCTAATCAGCGGCGATCAATTAGGAAAATATTAAACTCTTGTCTTTAACTCGAATTTCTTTCTTTCTTTTTTTTTCTTTTTGGTTCTCAAGTTTTGTATTATTTCCATTTAGCTTTTTATGGTACCGTTATCGGAATAATGAAAGCTAAGCTTTGGCTGGAAGCAATAATCATATAAACCAAAACGCGTGAAACCATTCATTTCCTTCCATTGTCACCGCATTGTCATCCACTACACACCTTTATTCGCAATTAACAACTTTATTTTCCCAAGTAGTTTACACCAATCGACGAAACTAGCAAAAACCTAGTAGGTTTTTTACAGACCAGCATTTTTAGACACTGGATAATCATGTACAGATAAAATCTACCGACAAATGTGTGTATTATGATTTTTAAATCTAATGGTGTAAACAAAGTTGTTGACGACGTGATTTATTGAGGAGCTGAGCTTAAGTTTGTTTGACTGACCAAACGAGAGAAAGCAAAAATAAAACTCACTCGAGATCTTCACTGGTCATTGATTAGAACCACCTTTGTGACTCTTTTTTTCTCTCACATACTTATGTCACCCTTAACTTTCGCTATCTAATTTCATTTTTATACATCAAAGTCCCTTCATTTCTCAAACCCATTAAGGAAAAAAGAGTTTTGAGCTGTCTTCCTTCTCTTGTCTGTATCATTCTTTTAGGAAGCCATGAGGATGGCATCAGGAAAAACAACATCTTTGCTTCAGCTTCTTCTTCTCCTTGGAGCTTTGACTCTTTTGAGCAGTTTGGTGATAGTGAAAGGAGAAAGCCCTTACAAGTTCTACACTTGGACTGTGACTTATGGCATTATCTCTCCTCTTGGTGTTCCTCAACAGGTACAACAGACAACAGTTTCTTTTTTTGTTAAAGACAAAGAAGAATAGTTTCTATACACGGAAAGTCTGAATCTCATTTTTGTTTGATATACTGACACTCTTTTAACTCTTTATGGATGTTTTTCTTTCTTTGTGTAGGTTATTCTCATCAATGGTCAGTTTCCTGGTCCAAAGCTTGAGGTTGTGACCAATGACAACATCATCCTCAACCTCATCAACAAACTTGACCAGCCTTTCCTCTTGACCTGGTAATTTCTTCTGATTTATATAACCCTAAAGTTTGAACTTTATCCTTTTCACATGCTTCCCAACGAATAAATCCTCTGTTTTGTGTAACCGATTTCATTAATGTGTCAACTTCTCTTACAACTTATTTAAGGCTTCCCTTAATCCTTTAAAAGGTTTCATCTTTTGTGAAAAAGCTGAAAACTCTATCGATCAATGTTGTTTCAATAAATGTGTATTTGATCTGTCTCAATGTTGTTTATGGTATAGGAATGGGATAAAGCAGAGGAAGAACTCATGGCAAGATGGTGTATTGGGAACAAACTGTCCGATCCCACCAAACTCAAACTTCACTTACAAATTCCAAACCAAAGATCAGATCGGAACTTTCAATTACTTCCCTTCCACCGCTTTTCACAAAGCCGCCGGTGGATTCGGAGCCATCAATGTCTATGCGAGGCCTGGAATCCCAATCCCGTACCCTGTTCCAACCGCAGATTTCACTTTACTAGTTGGCGATTGGTTCAAAACCAACCACAAGACGCTTCAACAACGTTTGGATTCTGGTGGGGTTCTTCCATTTCCCGATGGGATGCTCATTAACGGACAAACCCAGACTACATTTTCAGGCGATCAAGGTGAATGATGAATTTTTCAGCTTTCAGGAATTGTCCTTTGAGTGATTTGGTTCTGTTTGTTTTCATACTTATTGTGTCTATTGGCTTAATCTTTCAGGGAAGACTTACATGTTAAGAATCTCCAATGTTGGGCTATCAAACACTTTCAATTTCAGAATCCAAGGACATACCATGAAAGTAGTTGAAGTTGAAGGCTCGCATGTTATCCAAACAGATTATGATTCTCTTGACATTCATGTTGGCCAGTCTCTAGCAGTTCTTGTGACCTTGAACCAATCTCCTAAAGATTATTACATGGTTGCAAGCAGCCGGTTTGTACGAAACAAGCTTTCGGTTATGGGTTTGTTGCGTTATTCGAACTCTCACGTCCCAGCTTCTGGTGATCCTCCCGCTCTTCCACCTGGAGAGCTTGTTTGGTCCATGAGGCAAGCCAGAACTTTCAGGTATACATAATAGTTGCTTTTATAAACAAGTTAAAATCCGGTTAATGCAAAGGATTTTGGATAGTTAATGTTGTTGTTTTTGTTTGTGATTTTCAGATGGAACTTAACAGCGAATGCAGCTAGACCAAACCCTCAAGGATCATTCCACTATGGAAAAATCACTCCAACGAAGACATTTGTTTTCTCCAATTCAGCTCCTTTGATTAACGGGAAGCAAAGATATGCAGTCAATGGAGTCTCTTATGTGAACTCAGAGACGCCTCTTAAACTCGCTGATCACTTTGGCATCTCTGGAGTTTTCACTAACGCCATTCAGAGCGTCCCTTCTAACTCTCCACCAACTGTTGCAACATCAGTTGTGCAAACATCTCTACATGATTTCCTTGAAATTGTGTTTCAGAACAATGAGAAATCAGTGCAGTCTTGGCATCTTGACGGTTATGACTTTTGGGTCGTTGGGTGAGTCTTCTTCCTGCGCTGCTCTTATAACTTCTAACTCAAGTTAGATTCTTGCTAACGTTTCTCTCTCTCTCTTATGAATCTAGATTTGGTTCTGGACAATGGACACCTGCAAAAAGATCACTCTACAATCTTGTTGATGGTCTTACAAGACACACAACTCAGGTACCAACATCAATAAAACATTATAAAATTGCGGGAAATTTTGATTTGTTAATTGTGTTATTGATGTGTTTCTTGGGCATAAATGTAGGTTTACCCAAACTCTTGGACAGCAATCTTGGTGTCTTTGGACAATCAAGGGATGTGGAACATGAGATCGGCGATATGGGAAAGACAGTACTCGGGACAACAGTTTTATATGAGAGTGTGGAATCCAGTGCAGAGTCTTGCCAATGAATACAATCCTCCTGATAATCTTCAACTCTGTGGCAAAGCTGTTGGACGACACCCTTAGAGAGATCATCTCTTCTTTTCTTTTAAAGTTAATTCGATTCAATTTGGTTGAGGTTTTGGGTTTGTTCGTCCTGGTCATGAGAGTGTGGCTGGTGGCTATTTACATATGTAGTAAAACACAGGGAAAAGGAAAGTTATGTGTCATTGGTAGGTTTCGTCAGATTGGTGTTCGAAGACGATCATATGAACAATTTTATTAAAAGTGTTCTTTCATCGAAGCTCTTGTAATAATAATATAATAAATGCGGTTTCTGAATTTATAGAAGAAACTTGAAACTTTACCATTGATGATGATTAATCGGTGAAAACTTATATATACATACATAGAGTGTGTCCGGTGGAGCCTTAACAGGGCTTAAAACAACTCTATATAGAGAATGGGCCTAATTAAGCCCAATACGAGTTTGAAGAAAAAATGATATGGAAAAATCCAACAGCAGTTAGTGCCGAAATCAATCGGCGAGACGCGAGAAAAGAAAAGATTCTCTCCTCTCTCAAGTTTCTTTCTTCCAAGTTTCAACAAAACGATCAGAAAGTAATCTAGAGAAGACGGAAGGTTCGCGTACTCGAGTTTTGTTGAGATGAATTGCGAAGTTTGTCAGCTTAAGGAACTGGTACCACTTTCGTCTTCTTCTTCTTCTTCTTATTTTTGCTAACAAATCAGTCCAATCCTTGTAGTCATCGAGTCGTGTTTCTAATTCTGGATTTGTTTGGTGGCTTTTTCAATATCGTAAGGTTTTGTGTCGATTTGGTTGATTGATTTGGATACTTTTCGCAGGAAGTGGAGTCCTTCGAGATACGCGAGGTTTTGCGATGTAAGTTTCCGACTAGTTACATATGTATCTGCTCCAAACCAAACATCTGGTCTTAGGGGTTAAGATCCAGTGCTTTAGATCCCAGATTAGATCTTTCTCGGGCTTTTAAACTGTAGATATTGGTTCGGATTGAGAATTTTGGAGAACACTATACATGAATCTGTGGTGTGTTTCTCAACTTGAGTGAAATTTTGAAGATGCGAGCAATCATTGTTGTCTGATTTGGTTGTGGAATTGTCTTTTTCCAAGTCTCTGGTGTGATTTACTTTGTGAAACTTTATATCTGATAAGGTGTAATTTGGTGCAGGCATTCTACATACCATTGTCTTTCATCGTGCGCTTGGTCTTATACGTCCTAAAGATATTGATTTGGAGCTTTTTGAGATCACATACGTAAGATTTCAATTCCTTTCTCTCTTCTATGGTTTTATAGTTATGCTACACAAGATATGTTTACGAGTTTTTGGGTGATAGTATGCTTTTATTTTGATGTTGGTGACTTTTTCCTTTTTCTTTCCCCTATGTCACAGGTGCAATGCGGAGAAATCGAAGTCGAGAAGAAAATTGATGAAAAGATTGACCAATTCATAAGCTGGATTGAGAAACACCCGAACAAGAAAAGTCAGGTACATTCATTTATGATATTTCATTTCAATTCCATTTCCATTTCATTGATAGTGTATTGATAAACTCTGATCAAAAGTGAACTGCATATTTCATACCTGCTCAGGCAAGGATTGAACGTTTCTGCAGCATATAGGGTAGTTGCTTATCATATATTCTTTATGTGATTGTCTAATCCTTTTCGTTACCTGCATCTCTTGTGGCTGTTAATGATCTCTTCTTCTTTTTTTTTTTTTTGGTCATTGCCAAGATATGTCTATCATTTTATGAAGTCAAAAGCAAACAGCCGTCTTGGTTCACCAACAAAATTGAACGGTTGTACTGGGAACAATGGTACATAAATCTGAATGTTCTTCAGCCCACTAAGTCCCCAGTCGGCAAGTCCCACCATTCTAAACTAGTTATGGACCCTGGAGGTAAGATTGATGAACTTACTCCTCTCATCTCCAAAATTTTCGTCCCTCTTCTTTTTCCTATTAGAGTGGGAAGTGATTGTCATGTTCGAATTCAATAACTATAGAGGCATCTGAGGAAAGAAGTTCTCGTAGGACACTGCTTGAGCAATCCCTTCAAGATGTCCTATTCCAAATCATAAAATTCGTGAATGAGAAGAAGGACCATGTTCCTCCCATTAACGATGGTGTAATCTACTGCCCTTTTGAGATCACTATCCCTAGGTACAGCAGTCTCCACTTATTTGACATATCAAACTGTTTGCTAGAGATTTTACTTATGGATCATGTCTCAATGGACAGCTAATACTATCTTAGGTGCAGTGATTCCCACGAACATAGATGAGCGATGAATTTTCTTGATATTTTGGGTGTCAAAAGTGTTAAAATGAGTTAAGTTTTGTTTCAGCTCATCGGACTCAGCCTTTGGGATGGATATGTTCAAGAGGATACTCCACAGTGGCCATCCATCGATGCTCGGCTAATTCCATTTCCTACTCAACTTAGGTATATATACACTTGATGTTACTTGCTGCAACCTAACTCCAATTAACACTTTCCCTGTGTACATATATGATATAAAACTCAACACTTGCCTCGTCTCTCACCTCTTTGCCTCATCAATGTTACAGATATTTATTGTGAATAAGTGATGGGTTGTTTTGACCAAAAAAACAAAAAGTGATGGGTTGTTATTCGTATGCAAAGTTAGACTCAACTAGGAACTAATGATACTAGGTTCAGTAACATGTCTAATATTCAAACTTTTAACTAGGAAGAACATTCTTCAATATATAATCTATAGCTTTATGGCGTTCTTTTACATACACATAGATAGATGCTCTGTATTTATAATATGTTTTAGTTATGTCTTGTTCCAGCCATAGCTAGAGCATTTTAATTGAAAGCCTTTTAACAACAAAAAAAAAAAAAAAAATCCATATTTTTACTTGCTTCTCCTCCTATAACTCATATACCCGATTTGTACTTAACGCAGCTACAACGAATCAAGTTCGTTAATCATTTTTTAGGTTCCAGAATTGTCATCATCGTTTGTTTGTATACGCAACGTAGCAACTATTGTAAATTCGGATTAGCATTTCATAACTGAATTCTGTTTTCCAAGATTTCCAAACTTGGAATTGATGACATTAATTAGAGCCAAAAACAAACAAACGTTTCTCTGAATTTGTAGTTTAGTAACCTAACTAAATAAGAACCAAATTCACTCACTACTAGGGAGCACTAAAACTTAAAAAGTTAGGGTAGAGAAGCCAAAATAGAAAGGTAGAGAAGCTGCTCATGCTAAGTAGTCTCCGGACACGAACCCGACTTTGCTCTCTGGACTTTCGAACTGCCACGTGGCTGGTATTTGTGCAACGTGGCTTGTAGTAGTTGCAGCATCAGTAGCGCCAGTTGAAAACGGCCAGACCGTTATCCCTTGCCCAAACCTGACGTCGTCGAAATAGGACCCGTGACCAAGCCCAAGAGTAAACCCATCTGGCCCGTTAAAGCCACCACCAGGCCCATTTCTGTTCACAGCGGCGTTGTAGTGGAGCAAAGAGGTGAAACCACCGTAAAGCGACGAAGCACTCCCTTTCGCCGCAGTGTTACCGCCGTTGGAAGAGGATTGAGGGAAAAGAACAGGCATCGCTTGTAACGGAAAGTTACGGCTCCCCACAACGGTGGATGTAGCGGAGGAGGAGTAAGTGCGGGAGCGTTTTGAGCTTTTGCGGGAAACACCACCGACGGGAATGTCACGGAGGGTACCTCCATGAGTCCAGTAACGACGACAAGACTTGCAGAAATGACGAGGCTGTGAGAAATTGTAGTTGTTGTAGTAACAGAACTTGGTGTTGGTTGAGTCGCAGCGAGGACAAGGGAGCTGCTCTTGCTGATCCGCCGGAATCGCAACCGTTGCACTGCCGTGAGGAATCTTAGAAAGCCGACGAGATTCGCTGAATTCAGAAGGCATGTTGAAGAGGGGTTCTTGGCTGAAAAAGCTTAGAGTTTTTTCTTAAGATTTGAGGTGTTAAAGGTTGGAACTTTCTGAGAGAGTAAGAGGTTCCTTTTATGGAGAAGAGAGAAAGGGAAGGAGGAGAGAGTGAAGCTTTTTGACAGAGTGTGTTGGGTTTATTGTGAACATAGAGAGAGAGAGACACACACACACAGAGCAAATCTCTCTCTCGCATTAGCTTCATTATACGTAGGTGGCTCTGTTTTCAATATTTCTGTTTTGAAAATTATGGAAAAAACAAACAAGCAACAATTCATCTAATCGCTCCTAGCTCTATCCATAATTTGTCACACTTTTTTTGTTTGGCATATAACAAAGCGATATATATATAGTAAAAAATAAAGACATTATTTGTCTGATCATGCGAAATGCTTCGTGAAAGTGCTAACCACACATGACATGAGCGACTAAAAAACCCTGGTTACAACTAATGTTTTAAGTTTTAGTTACATGTATCTTGTAAGCTATTATTCCCGAATTATGAGTTGAAACCAACAGTCAAAGAGATGATGACATTGGTTTTAAATATTAATTTACGGGGGAAAATTCACATCCATAAAAAATACGTGTCTATGGGAAATGAAGAAAGAAAAAAGAGTATGAATAGTAGGCAACACAATAGGTCAATAGGTAAATTGAGGGGAGACTACTGTCTGAGCTTATTAATGTAAAGAAGCAGTTCCCAATAATTCAACCATTATATTGTTAAAGGTTTATTATGGCTATACTTAGCCTGATTTCACTTATTTAATATGGTTTCTTATAGAGTTGTGTCATCTTTTCCCCCAAAAAAAGAAGAAGATAATTTAGTGTATGGACCCTAAATGAGATTTATGGTGTGTGTAGATGTGCTACCAATTACTATACCTGTACGAGAGAATCAATGCGTTCAGGTTTCTTAGAAACAACACTAGTTATTTTAAACTACTTAAGTACCAAAAATCAATTCAAATCAGAATAGTATGTTACTATTAAACCAATGTTACGTGCTATGGTCTTATCTTATGCGTATATAAAATCACAAAACCCATGTTTCGATTTATTTTCTGTGCGGATGTGTTTTGGTCATTTAATTGATTTAAAACGTTGTCTTGGTTTAGGAGCTATAAAAAGTAAAAAAAAATCTAGACAATGCATGCCATGTAGACAGAGGAGTAACAATAATCGTAGTAGAACTTCTGACTAAAAAGAAAACATTAGTATATCTTTGGGGGAAACAAGACAAATGTATCTTTAAGGAATAGAGAGAGAGAGAGAGAGGACAAGTAAGTGTGTGTGGTTGTTGTCCCCAGTTGCTTGCAAACGAAAGAAGAGGGCCGGTCGCAGTTGTAAAACTGGGGGAGGCTAAAAGGGTCAAAAGGAGGAGGAGACAAGAAGAGATTCGTTAATGTGAAGAGACAGAAGCGAAGGTTGTCGGGTAAAAGAATGTGATACGGAGAGCTAAAGAATTGAAGAAGCATGCAAAATCTTCACTGCACACACACACCAAAAAAGCATCCAACATTTTTAAGAGAGAGAGAGAGAGAGAGAGACATGTGAGAAGTATGTGCCCCTAAGACGTGTCTACTGGTTCAGAGCCGTCCTTCCTCTGCTCTCTACTGTACCGACCGGTCTAATCTGGTCAAATTCTGACACTCTCTCTTTCTTTCTTTTCTTTATTCCATTCTTTTTGTCCTTTTCCTCTCTTAGTCTGTGAGTCCTTCCAAGGGGTGTTTTCGTAATTCTGTTTTATCATCTAATGGGCCTTTTTCTTTATGCGACTTAGACCATGGGCCTTGCATAAGAGATCTTTTTGTTTTGTTATGACTTGTGTGTCCATCTCATTGGACTTTTTGTATTACAAAAGCTTACAAGGAAAAACACCATTGTTGGGCTAATTATCCTGTCTTTTTATTTTAAACAACAAATATAAAATAATTGTATGAAAATGATATGCATTCTGACATGACGATGTAAAGAAAACATGCAATAATCGATCTTTTTTTATTTTAAGGGCCTAATTATATGGCTCTACTGTTGTGTTTGTGCATGTTTCACCAAACATCCCATTATGAAAAAATACGATTCAAAGCTGAAAAATAACTTTATTGAATGATGCATGGTCATCTATGCCACGATCTGTGTCCCATTGCGAAAGTGAAAACTTGGTCATCATCATAATAGTAAAAGGTGCCAATAAATTATATATTCAGAATAAATAATTTGAAACAATAATTACAAGGCCAAAAAAAAGGAAACAATCATTACAAAAGAAGTAAAGAGCCAGTGGCGGATTCAGGAGATTTATTAACCTATGGCACATATTAAATATACCTAATAATTAATATATTAGTATACCATATGATAAAAATATGAAGTTAAAAGGTAAAAATAGTCTACACGAAGGTATAGAACATCCCACTTCTCATATTATCTACATGTAAACATTACCAAATGAACTAATATGAAACTATTGTGTAGAGTTATTCAATACAAAATAAAAATCAGTGTAGGGCACGTGCCCAACCTACTTATAACGTAGATCCGCCACTGTAAAGAGCATATTAACAAATATACAAACTCTAGGGTTTTTATTTATGCCTTTCAAAGTTGTTGGAGAAAATATAGAAAGAGTATATATACACATATGGGGACCAAGAGGGATCATCTCCATCTTTATTTGTCTTGTTGCAACAAATCTGATAAAGATAATGATATATTTGTTGGAAGTAGGAACGAAAGATATTTCAGAATAGTGTGCGTAAGAAACAATTTGGATAGCAAAGTAGAAGTGTAGAACTTTAGTATTTCCAAATTAGCGGCAAAACTTGCTCTTCTTCTTGAGTCAAAAACTAAGATCCTTGAGCTAAAAAAGTTATCATAGTTTAATATAGCAGGGAAGTCTTGAACGAGTCATGATTGAAATCTATATACTACAAGAATAAATGTGCCAAAAGATATGGTATCACTTCTATATACTCATGAAATTGGGTGCGACGTGCGTCTGCACTCCCGTTGTGTTTTATTTCCACGGTCGGAGAAGTGAACGTCACAATTCCTCATCTGTTAAGTTCTTTTGTTTATCTCTATATATATATTTATGAGGATCAATGTTTATAACTATGCTCACAGTCCATACGAAATTTCAAATTTGTCTAAATTTAGTAGTAAATCATGAAATATAAAGTTAATAAGTAAAACTGGAATGTCGTCGACATGGCCTATGAAAAAGCTACTTTATGGAAAAAGTTTGAGTAGGCAAAACAAAAATAATTTTAATCAAGGGTGAGACTATGTAAATTATTAGATCGATAGTTGACTAAATCATTGCATGAGTAAGCATTTTAGGATTTGATACCATTAAGCAAGGTTTTCTATCCACACTATTATAACAATCGAATGCACGTTTGTCCCTTAATTGTCTTCTACATTAATTAATCTATTTCGATTTGCATATTTGTAATAAATATACACTCAAGTATCCATAACGTATACGTTATTAACTATGAACAAAAACTTAATATCCCATTACTTATTATATTTATGAAGTATAAGAGTAACTAAACTATTAACTATACTAATCTTATATTACTTAAGATGACTATATGATTATCAGTTATTACTAGGAGCCTATGTTATTGTATATTGATATGAAAAACATTTACCTTTTTTTTTTGGGGTTATATTTTAGAATGTATGTGGATCCACATGTTAGAGTTATGGATATTAAATTACATATTGTTGAGCCCCCACATCACCTACTAATATTTAAGTTTAATTTTCAAATAAAAATACGTAATATTTATTTATTTTGGTCACTTTTATTATTATTATGAGCCAAAGTTCTGTTATAACCAGAACCAATAAATGCGTGGGTTGGATCATAAATTAGGATATTTATTATTTACTTGTTCAAAACCGTTTCCGACAGATATAGAAGAAGATTGGTGGTGAATGGTGATGCAGACTAATTACGACTATAAAATAATATATCTCAACGGCTAATTTCGTTGAGTTTAATTACCTTACATGTAGTAATAAAAAAAACAGCTAAATCTCTCTTGTCAACAAAAAAAAATCAGCTAAGTTGTTCAATCCAATATTTTTCAGCACACACAAACGATATATATTAGTAATGAATATATATTGTCAAAGTATTTTGAAAAACAAAAAATAAAGGAAAGAAAAGAAAAGGGGGAGAGGAGGATCTTTGGTTGGTTGTATAATAGAGCCAGCTAAAAAAACCACGAAGAGCTTTCAAACGATGGAGAAAAGAACAGTAAAGAAAATTAAAGAGAGCAAAAGTGATAAGCTTTCATTATGGGTCCCCAAAATAAAAAAACCAATCAACCAAATTGAATTATAACATTTCAAACAATCATATACTATTATGTATGATGCGTGGATTATATTTTTGTTTGAATAAATTATATGAAGAAAAAAAATGATATTTTGGAATTGAAACAGCAAAGTAACAGCAAAGATTAGGCACTTGATTGAATACTGTATATATATATATATATATTAAAAAGTCAAATGGCATTTTTAGTCACTGTTTTGGTCATTATCAAAGCAGAGACAGAGAGATTATACACAAACAGACGCTCCAAAAATTTCTCTGTATTGTTTACTTTTGATGTGAAAGGAGTTTAGTTTTTCTCTTGTAGTAGAGGAGAGACCACAAGGTTGGTGATACGAAGAAGAAGAGGAACATGAAGCTTCTCTGTGTATCTCAGATTTTCTTTTATTAAGAGTTATTTTTCTTCTTTCTTTTTGGGGATTTGGGTATTCTTGGCTTCGTTTGTCTCTGTTCAAGATGGGACAAAGGTTTTGACTTTTTCCGATCTCTCTCTTCTCTTCTCTTCTGGGTTCATTTTCATTTCTTCTCAAAGTTTTGATTTTTTTTTTACCTGATCTGTGATTTGATTTGTTTCTATTTTGTCCTCCTCTCATTCCAGTGGTGTGGCTTTGTGTTTCTTATGATCCGAGGTTTCTAAAGTAGGCACCTTTTTTTGATTACTGAAATCTTAATTAGGGTTTCAGTTAAAAACCCAAACTTTTGAGTCCAGTCTTGACAAAAATTAGGGATTTGATGCATATCTCACTCTGGAAGCCAATTTATCACTGTGCTGCTGCTCTAGTATTGGACAAGAAGAGCACTGGTAGTAGCAGCAACAGGAATCGAGATGTGACTCAGCGGAAACTCCATGAATCTAAGCTCAGGGAAGCTCTCGAACAAGCGTCGGAAGATGGGTTACTCGTCAAATCTCAAGACATTGAAGAAGAAGACGAGTCCCAAGATCAAATCCTTGGACGGTCAAGATCACTCGCTAGACTCAACGCTCAACGCGAGTTCCTGCGTGCTACATCACTCGCAGCTCAAAGAGCATTTGAATCAGAAGAAACTTTACCTGAGCTTGAAGAAGCACTTGAAATGTTTCTGACCATGTATCCAAAGTATCAGTCTTCGGAGAAAGTTGATGAACTCAGGAACGATGAGTATTTTCACTTATCATTACCAAAGGTTTGTCTTGACTATTGTGGATTTGGGTTGTTCTCCTATCTTCAGACAGTTCATTACTGGGACACTTGCACTTTTAGTCTGTCGGAGATTAGTGCCAATTTAAGCAACCATGCTATATACGGTGGTGCTGAGAAAGGATCCATTGAACATGATATCAAGATTAGGATTATGGATTACTTGAACATCCCTGAGAATGAGTATGGTCTTGTGTTCACTGTCAGTAGAGGTTCCGCGTTCAAGTTGCTTGCAGAGTCTTATCCATTTCACACAAACAAGAAGCTTCTGACTATGTTTGATCACGAAAGCCAATCCGTTAGTTGGATGGGTCAGTGCGCAAAGGAGAAAGGGGCAAAGGTTGGTAGCGCCTGGTTTAAGTGGCCTACGCTTAGGCTGTGTTCAATGGATCTTAAGAAGGAGATTTTGAGTAAGAAGAAGAGGAAGAAGGATTGCGCGACCGGTTTGTTTGTATTTCCTGTCCAATCAAGGGTCACTGGGTCTAAATATTCTTACCAGTGGATGGCATTGGCTCAGCAAAACAATTGGCATGTGTTACTTGATGCTGGTGCTTTGGGTCCTAAAGACATGGACTCGCTTGGATTGTCTTTGTTTCGGCCGGATTTTATCATCACTTCGTTTTATCGTGTGTTTGGTTATGATCCAACTGGGTTTGGCTGTCTGTTGATTAAGAAATCTGTGATTAGCTGCTTGCAGAGTCAATCCGGGAAAACAAGTTCAGGGATCGTGAAGATAACACCCGAGTATCCTCTGTATCTAAGTGACTCCATGGATGGTTTGGAAGGCTTGACTGGGATTCAAGATAATGATATCGCTATTAATGGAGATAATAAAGCCTTGGGAACTCAATTACCTGCGTTTTCTGGTGCGTATACTTCTGCTCAGGTTCAGGATGTCTTTGAGACAGATATGGATCATGAAATTGGTTCTGATAGAGACAATACAAGCACTGTGTTTGAGGAAGCTGAGAGTATCTCAGTGGGTGAATTGATTAAGAGTCCAGTATTCAGCGAAGACGAGTCATCGGATAGCTCGCTCTGGATTGATTTGGGTCAGAGTCCCGCTGATTCTGATAATGCAGGTCATCCGAACAAGAAAAAGAGCCCCTTACTGGTTCCCCAAAGCCACAAACGAAGAATCTCCCCTAAACCAGATTCAAAGGCTAATAATGGCAGCAACGGTGGAAGGCATGTTCTCTCTTTTGATGCTGCTGTTTTGTCAGTATCACATGAAGTGGGTGAAGAAGTCTCAGAAGAAGGAAAAACTGAAATGAATCAAACAGACACAAGTCGTCGGTTGCGAGTTAATGAGATCGAAGAAGAAGGAGGGAGCAGTGAGCTAGTTCCTAATGCAAATAGAAATGGTTCTACCTCTGGAATCAAAGAGAGTGCGATAAGAAGGGAAACCGAAGGCGAATTTAGGCTGTTAGGTAGAAGGGAGAAGAGTCAGTATAATGGTGGGAGACTTCTTTTGAATGAAGATGAACATCCCAGTAAACGAAGAGTATCGTTTAGATCAGTAGATCATGGTGAAGCATCTGTGATCAGTCTTGGGGATGAAGATGAAGAAGAAGACGGAAGCAATGGAGTAGAATGGGATGCTGATCAGAGAGAACCAGAGATCGTTTGCAGGCACATTGATCATGTCAACATGTTAGGTCTCAACAAAACCACCTCGAGACTCCGGTACCTCATTAACTGGCTTGTGACCTCTCTGCTTCAATTAAGGCTGCCTAGATCAGATTCAGATGGAGAGCACAAGAATCTTGTTCAGATTTATGGTCCCAAGATCAAATACGAGCGTGGATCCTCTGTGGCATTTAATGTCAGGGATTTGAAAAGTGGAATGGTGCATCCTGAGATAGTGCAGAAACTAGCTGAAAGAGAAGGGATATCTCTAGGCATTGGTTACCTCAGTCACATAAAGATCATCGATAGTCGAAGCGGTGATTCAAGTTCTTGGAAACCGGTGGATTGTGATGGCAAAAACAACGGGTTCATAAGAGTTGAGGTTGTCACCGCTTCTCTTGGGTTCTTGACAAACTTTGAAGATGTTTTCAGGTTATGGAATTTCGTGGCTAAGTTCTTGAGTCCAGGTTTTGCTAAACAGGGGACGCTCCCAACAGTTATTGAAGAAGATGATGCTTCAGAAACTTAAAGACATGAGCCATGGATACATTTTTTCCCTACACTTCCTTTACTGTACTTAAATTGTTATTATCTGAGAACATTCTCTTGTATGAATTTGGGAATTTATGTGAGCAGAGATGATCTCAGACAAGAAGATTTCAGATGTCAGCATATTGTAACTGTTCATCTGTCTTCTATCTTTGTGTCACACAATTCATTGATTCATATCCAAATTTTAGTACTAGAGGAAACATCTAAGCTATTCTTTAGCCTTTACGAGCTGTGCCATATCTGAATTTGATCAATTATTTTCAAGATTCCAACATCTTTATGAGAAATGCAATTTCTAACGCGGATTCCTTAGTCTGTAAGAAGCGGTTTTCTTCAACAATGTCAGTCGTCAAGTTGAGTAAGACTGGGCGTTTCGGGTCATGGAAGGTATTGTCACGAACTCTTGCAACCCATTTCGCAGCTTCCCATACACCAAATCTAACAACAACAATAGAAATCTCACTCTTAAAAACTCAAAAATCAATAGAAATCACCAACTGAGGAGAATAGATGCTTACCGAGTATTGAATGAGGAAGTGACTAAAACTGCAGGATAGAGAACATCCTTAGGAATGTTATCATAAGGTGAATATCCACGAATCGCGTGAAAGTCATCGATATCTCCTGGATATCCAAACTCTTCGTAATCCTCTGCCGTTAAGGGTAGTATTGGATAGATTAGAGTATGAGTTGGATCAAGAAATGGAACCTGAAATAACAGAAACAATTGATAATTTCAAGGTTTCCTTATCAATCAACGCCTCAAACTTTAAAAGCACCTGAGGTTTGCTGAGTACCTTTAGAACCGCAGCTTGGAAGAGATCAGGGCATTGATTGATAGCTGAAGCAACAACAAGTCCTCCCGCACTGTATCCCCAACCAGCAAGCTTTTTATCTTCTACTATATTGTTCTCTACAAGGAACTTGGCACACTGAATGTAATCTTTTATGGCGTTAAGTTTATTCGCGCCTCTCCCATCTTGATGCCACTTCTTTCCTTTCCCTCCTCCACCTCTAGAAAACCCCGAGAATAATGGATACATGAAGGAAACAGTCGATTCTTGCTGTTGAAAGCCTAAGTGAATAGAGAAGAGAAAGATGGTACTGACCTAACATCTGCATATGCAAGTACCCAGCCTCTATCAAGGAGGCTTTTAAGATCACTACGCCATCTCTTATCAAGCATTTCACCATAAGCACCATGAACATGAAGCAGACCAGGTTTCCGGCTCTCTTTTTGAGCTCTTGAGTAAACAATAGTTAATGGAACCATGGCTCCATCATGAGAAGAGACTTCATGGTAATCACATGTGTAAAACTCGGTTAAGTCATTCCACAAGTTGTCATTCTCAGTAGTAGTATCCTCAGTATCAAAACTGACAATTCTGGTGCCTGAGGGTATATTAGGGCTCTCGGTGGAAGTTGCAGTGCCATATAAAACCCGTGTTCTTTCGTGAAGCATGTTTTGCTGCTGTACAATATTCCATTTCCCATTTAACAGATCATAATCAACCACGGCATCAGGCATCTGCAGGCCAAAAGTGTTTAAAATTCAAAAACACTAGCAACTAAGAAAATCTAACATGAAGCAGAAAACAGTAAGATGAACTGTTCTCCTACCACAAGAGAAGAAATGGTGAATCGCATTGTTGGAGAATCGAAGTCGTAGTTTGTGCCAGGAAATATTTGAGAAACGTGCTTAGGTAAAGGAAGATAACGAGGTTTAATATCTCTCAGATGAACCGGTGCCTACTTATAAGAAACCAATCATGGTCAAATTTATTCACAGATAATCAATCTGATCGATGAAAGTACAAGTATAGTAAGCTTTACCCGCTCTGTCTTGAGAGGTAGATCAACCACACAAATTTTTAAGCTCTGCATTTCCTTCACAATGAGGGATAGATGTGTTTTGCAGAAATCAACATCCTCAATGATTAATTCAGGGTTGTCGATAAAAACTGTCTGCACATAAAGATGAACACATTCAAATCAGAATGACAAGTAATACTAATCAGCAGATGATAACTAATATGTTATCAGCCGAACCAACCTCCCAGATCCTTTGACTGGAAGAAAAGTGAACAGGGCTTCGAAGAAGATGATGATGGTCGAGTGTTCCACCATCCTTGGAAGCATCTGTAAATAAATAGAGGAATCCCTGATGATGCTCAATTATGCAGTGTGCTGGAGCATTGTGTTCCCAAACCAATGCCAAACCGGAAAATGGGTCAGCTGCATTGATCAGAAAGACCTATGACATAGTGCTTGTTATGTTTACAATAAAAATAAACACCAAACAAGAAGCTTTTAGCAGATGTATTTGGAGCTTTCACCTTTGAAAATGTAGGAGAGACTGTATTTACAGTCACAAATTGGAAATCTTTTGTATGTCTTATGTTAACATGAACATTTCCCTCGAGTTCTTCGTGAAGCAAAACATCTTCATCCGTTGATCCGATCGTGCTACAATATATCCTGATAACAGAACAAAAAGACGGATCTACAGATGCTTCCAAGGATTTACAGGAAATTTGTGGTAGAACTAAACAACCAAAATTGATCATTCGAAACCTGAATGGCCGTTTTTTCTGATCAGTCACGACATAGAGCAAAGCCTGTCCGTTCTTTGCCCACGCTATGTTGGAGACATGATCTGCGTGAGGCTTACTACATAATGCTCCAGAATTCAAGTTTCTCACACACAACTTAAAGTAGTCGTTGTCTTTATCATACATAGTGTATGCAAGAAATTTGTGGTCAGGGGATATCTCTGACATCTCTTCATAAGCATAACCTACAAAACAGATACCAAAACAGTTAAGTCCTCTTAATCCGTGCAAGTATAAGAGCCTAAAATTTGTGTATTTTACCTCCAAATCTTGCAGCTTCCTGATTGTAATCAAGCAGCTTCTGCTCAATCCTCTTGCCAGATGTAAAATCAAACCCTGCAGCAGGGGACTTATGAGAAATGAACTCCTCGTGCAAGCTCGCTAGCCTCCTACAGAGTACTGGATACTGCTTCCCCTCTTCAACCCGTCTATAATACAACCTATTTTCCACCAATTCAACCAAATCAATGGCCAATTGCCACAAAAAGGATGAAACTTTCAAATTAATCGACGAGTCTGCAGATAGAAAAATCCAAGCTTTTGACAACCCTTTGTTCTCAAAAAAACATGCGAAGATTACTTATACAAGAGAATATGTTAACTGGGATTGACTCACCAAGGTCCCCAACGAAGAGGAGGCGTGGAGAGCTCAAAGGACAAACGAGAAGCCATTTCAGACTGAAGTTTTGTCTGAATCCTATCAGTATCAGTCAATACTGCTTCAGTATACTTCTCTTCTTGCTCCATATAGATATCCATATGCCGCATCGCCACTTTATCTTGCAGCTTAGACATCCAACTGTAAGGATCCTCCCACGTCGCGTCGTGGAAGGTGAAACTCTGAGGCTTCTTCGGCGGTTTTGGTAAAGCTGGTGGTGGTGTAGGAGGCGGTGGAGACTTCGGAGGCTTGTAACGGCGACATTGTTGTTGCCGGATACGACAATTATGACGGGAGAAGGTCCGAGAGAGATGGCTCAACATTTTGTCCGGTGGGTCATTGGGGGTTTACTCACTCACAAGGGGGTTTTTGGATTCTTTTCATAACGGAAGAACCTTCTAAATGACATGGCGGCTTTCGCTAAGAACTTGTGACCAAGAGAGCCTTCTAGCTCATCAAGAGGCTTTACTTTGAAACCAACTCTACTCGAATATCACTTTCGGTCTTTTCGATATATACATATATATACTTGCGAACAATTATAATAAATTTCAAAATCTTATAATCATCAAAATATTGATCTGTTTAACATATTTGATACTAAAATAATTTATTTACGAATTCAAACAAATAATCAAAAAGCACATTATGCATTAATTTGTTCAAATTGTAGAACCTGACCACCTCAGTCAGACATTGCCAGGAAAAGAAAAGCGTACGTGCATGGTCTAACAAATTCATTGCGAATCCTCTCCTCAAACTCAATAAACCCATTGGTGCCTTCATCTTGTACATACGTTTTCATCATTCGCACGACTTGTTTAACATCTTCTTTAATTTGATGCTTAAGCTATCTCCATCATCCGATCCGTTCCTCGCTTTTTTTCGCTACCACTATAATTAACTTATGACCTTCATCTGTCATGGATTCCATTATTTTCGTGTAACACTTAATCTTCTCATGGTTTAGCTTCGACCAACAAGGCGGAAAAGCAACTACAGAGAAATTTGGAAGACTGTATACTATAGCATATAGGTTATATAAATGCTTGTTTGACCTCGTACGTAATCCGATGATTATGACAATGCTAATTAATTTCACGCTATCCCTGAATGAGTGCATATATTTCCCGCTCTAGCTTACTGGATAGAGCACCTAAGATAATCTTAATTAAGAAATCAAATCTTACTAAGGATATTAAAAGAATCAACCTGGTCGATTAGTTTTTCTTTCTTGGGCATGGCAAGGAGATTTGATGATTTCCTGGCTTTTCCTCACACACACATGGTTCACAGATACATCTATCGTTGACCCAAATCAGTAGGATTGGCCCGGGTGTGGTTGCTAAGTTTATGGGCCTTGGTAAATTGTCTTTCAAGGTGTTAAGTTGTAATACATAAATAAGAAAATTAGGTCAGAGAAAACAAAACTTACCTTCTTTTTTTTTGTTCCTCTCTCTCTCTCAAATCCTTGTCTGACTTAGAACTTCACACAAGTTTTAGATCCCCTCTCGACTTTTCTTGATTCTTAACGTTTCACTACCAAAACAAACTCTACTTACAGAAGCAATCATGGTTGAAACTGGTAAAGACTTAGAATTTTTCAAGGTGTTTCTCCCTGAATTCAGTTCTCACGAACTGGTATGTTTCTCTAATTCTCTATCTCAGTTCCTTCTTATGTAATAAACATGAAATAATTAAATAAATTATCACGTTTTTAAAAAGGAAAACAATAACAAAATAAATCTGCGCAGGTGATTCCTCCAGCATTCATCGACTTATTAGTAGGGAAGCCACTACCTAAAGAAGCCTTCTTACTCGACGAGATCGGACGGTTATGGCGTGTAGAGATAAAAACAGAAGACACAGAAGAAAGATTCTGTGTTTCGTTCCAAAAAGGTTGGGAATGTTTCGCAAAGGATCAATCTCTCGAATTTGGAGACTTTCTTGTGTTTAGCTACGACGGCGGTTCGAGATTCTCCGTTACAATTTTCGCTAAAGACGGAACCAAAAAAGATGTTGGTGTCGTCGCAACCACGGAAAGATCTAGGGTTTCTCTTGAGAAGGACCCGGTTCATATTTTTACTAAACCGGAGCGTAGGAAAGATTGTAAGCGGAAACGCGAACACGATTCGGTTCTCGATAAACCCGAGTATGTTTCAACTAGCAAAACCAAACCGGGACATCGTGAAAAGATTCAGAGAACAACAGTTAACCGGGCTGGAGGTAATTACCATCTTGTTGGTATTTTCTTCTTTTAACATTTTCTTTTTTTTTTAATATTATTTTAGTGAAGTGGTTTAATTTGAATCATGTATTTGTCCGGTGTTGTTATAATGTAGATCCTTGTGACATATCATGGTCTTCTGACTCTGAAGATGGATTTGAAGAATCGGTTTATAAACCCAAGAATCCGCATTTTCTAAGGAATATTACATGCAGTTCGTTTCATAAACTGGTGAGCTCTTAATAAGAGTACCAATTACGTTTTTATAAATCTGTTCTGTCTTATATATTGGTTTACATAATTAATACCAATCCCCATATGTGTTATTAGGAAATACCAATAACTTTTCTGAGATCGAACGGGATCGAATTGGAGGAAGAAATCGAGCTTTGTGATGAAGATGGAAAGAAGTGGCCTTTGAAGGTTGAGAATCACGTCAGAGGACTCAGGTTCTCGTGTGAAACATGGTCGTGTTTCAGTAAAGGCCATAAGTTGATGAAGAACCACAAGTTTTTACTTGAGTTTGTCGCGAGTAGTGGGAGATGCAAAGAGATTCAAGTTCGTGTTGTCAGTGGGAGATTGCCTACCACTATGACGAGAAATAAATACCAAATTCTTGCTATGTAACCATTAAAAACTATACAATTGTTATGATCGCTACTTATATGGTTTTATTTTCTTATTATATAGTTGCACAAATTTAGAATCTTGTAAATCAAATAGAATCGTCTGCTTTAATCGAGGCAAAAACGAGGTATCAATTCGAGGTTAGTCTAGGAGATTCGTATTGGGTATTATCGAAAACGACTATTACTTGCCACTCAAGCTAGCTGGTGAAGGGTATGAGACCTGTTTACTTGGACCAAGTTCTTTACTGGTTAGCGTTCAAGACAGTGACTGACGAAACACACCTGCTTCAAACTGAATTTCCAAACTCTAAAGCATTCTTCTGCTCCGCCCCAACAGAGGAAGTTATTTGCGTTTATTCCCCGGAGAAGTCCACCAAGAGAGACGGATTCCGAATAATTAAGGTATATCTTTCTTCGTTTATCTTCTACACTCATCAACCGTCTATCTTCGTTTTTGAAGAATATCGTTCTTCTCTAAAAAAAGAGGCCATTACATGTAGGTAACGTGTTCTTTGTAAAAATAGCCAAGTCTATGTTGGTTGATTTCTAATCACAAACTCACAGCTCTCGAAATTGAATTCTTTTATTTTTTACATATTTTTTTTTTTTGGCTCTCTCTCTCAGCAACAACAATTTGTCAAAGCAAAAAAATACATACCCTCATAGAAGGTGTGTCAACCTAGCAACATGTTGCATTAAACCCACCTTTGTGAAAGTATATTACTAACTTTTACACATATTTTCACACTTGAAAAAAAGGTCAGAGGAGATGTTAATAAACATTAACGTCTTCGAAAACCTTTCTTCTAAGTAGGGTTGCAGCAGACGAGTTAGAGTAGAATCGCGGTAAGGTAAATGCCTTCACGAGAAAAGTACATGTTCAACAAATTTAGATAATGTATTTATACACACTCTACATATTCAAATTATTTTTGTTCTATAGTTATTAAAATACTAAGTTGTACAAAAATTATAATATATTTTTTTATGCTTTGCTCTTTAATCTAAAAATTATAATATATATTTCTAACATTTTACTGTTATAAAATTGTAATATAGAAATTATGATCTTTGACAGGATATACATACATGTTAAAGAATTCCCGCTATTTCATCACTGGACTTTTTATTTTTAATAACATGCTTTCCATTAGAAACCCAAAAATTACAAGGCTAAAAAGCCCAACCTGGCCTCAAGCCCAACAAAAAAGGGAAGAAACGACAACAAACGACAACAGACGCAAATCATTCGACTATTATATCTCTGTGTCATACCATTTTATTTATTAGAGAATAGAAATATCATATGTAGTGCTAATTTGATCAAAAAGATTGTGAAAATACAGTGTCGTATTATCTCGTTACGCAAGCAATGACCAAAAAAAATAAAAAAAAATTAGCAGTGAAGCGATTAAGAACGCACTAATTGCAAGAAATAGAATAATGAATAATACAAAGCTTAAGGCGAATGCACGCACGCACGTACGTACGTAGGAGAGCACATAGTTTATGTCCTTTTCTTGCTTTCTTAGTATAAACTAACGAAAGGCCAAATCAGCCACCGGTTTTTACAGAACCAACGGGACCAAGGCCCAATGTAATACGCTTATCTCCCACCCCACGACAATATAATAATTATAATAAACAACTTACAATTTATCTGAATGCGAAGTCTCACCAATCCATTGATCCCTCTATATATATATAAAAACACACAAGTGTGTCTTGTTTACTACACAATATTTTCTCAATTGTTTAGTTTCATCTGTAGAACGATGGAGTTTGTGACTTCGAAAGAAGAGGAGAGTTTGAAAGAGGAGCAAGTGTCGAAGCAGCTACACCTGAAATCATCTGAAACGCAAACGCAAACGCTGAACAAAAAAGCCGTTCTCAACCGCATCCGCAACCACAAATGTATGCACAAAATCAAGAGCCTTCTCCACACCACCGCAGCTAACAACGGAGCCGCCGTCGACGATGGTTATCAGTGGATTGATAGTGGCGATGTCTTCTCTTGTCCGTGAAATAGGCAGTGATTTTGCCACGTGTCATACACGTGTGTGTGTGTTTTTTTGATGATAACTCTCTTGTCTCTATTCGCGTTAATCGGAATTTAGTATCCCAAAAAACACACAAGTTTCTGTTATGTGTAATCTTCTATAAATTTTAGACTCCCTATATTTGAACATCACCGCTGATCTTTTTATCGATTTGCGTTTTGCCTTATTGGGATGCGGTGCTTGTGTATGCAATGGATAAACTGGGCCATGAGTGGTCATCATTAATGTTTTGGGCCTTTCTCAAAGGCTCATTTCAAGGCCCGAATTTGGATTCATTCGTTTTTAAACTCTAGAGTGAATCCGTACTCGTACATTAAATTAATTAATCTAATCCCAAACAAGTTTCATGGACATTATATCATCATTCATCATCAAAAAGAGACTTGCATGACGTAACTCCAAATACTCCAGCAATCCTCTTCGTCTTACACGACACCGACACAACAATAGTAGCAACATAAACTTAAAAAAGTCATCCAAGGTTAGATCACACTAGAGACGAGCGATCTTGCTCTCATTAAGAAGACGAAAATACCCGTCTCCGTTTGTAGTTAGCCTTGAAGCAAGCTTGTCTTAACCTCTTAGTCTTGTTTCCAAATTCTAAATCAGGAACCTCCTCAATCATCTTTTTCTCTTTCTCCAAAATCTCCAAAGCGTCTCTCAGCTTACTCTTGTTCGTCTCTCCCTCCGTATTCTGTAACGATTCCTTCCAAAAAAAAACAGCACGTTTAAGTGTACGATATCCCAATATAAATAAGCAGAACTATTGGTCTTGACATATATTTTTGTTGACGCACCTTGAGGTTAGTAATTAGAGTGTTAAGGCTCGAGAGCTTACGGTGAGGCCAACGAGGAATACCTAACTCACGACATTTTTTCTTAAGGAGAGTTACTCCAATGTTAAGCTCCTTGGCTGCTTTAGCTATCGGCATGTAAAAGTACTGCTTCATCATTTCCCTTGACACACTATTGATGACCCCATCTTCTCTATTTCGCCTCTTCATGATTATCCTCTTCTGGTTTGTTGTCTCTTTTATTCTGTTGTCGTCTTCATTCGATATTTTCTCCATATTAGGATCTCCCATGCTGTTAGTGCTTCTTGATCTGTCATCTTGAATTGGTTCGACCTGGTTATTGTAGTTACCATTACTCTCCATATTCCACAACCCACTTAGTACATCTGCTAAACAAGATAAATTAATATCACAGATCATGCATATATATATAAATATATTTATGTGTATATATATATGTATATGTATGATGTATCCACATACCTAGAGAGAAAGTACTAGAGATGGCTTCAAGATCAAATGAAGCCAAAAACGTATGATCAGCCGCTAAGGTAGTAGAATAAGGATTAACAATGCTATCTTGGGAAGAAAACCAACTCTCAGTTTCGATATCCTTAAAAGGGTTAATGAAAGAGCTGCAAAAAAAAAAAAACAATGCATCTTAGATTCGTTTAACGCAAGCAAATCATTTTAGTTGTTTACTCATGTAGTGACTTACTTTTGATCGATGAGAAGTGATTGATCGAGAAACGAGAATATGTCTTCTTGAAGGAATGAATCATAGTTGTTGGCCTCTGACCAGATCATGAGAGGGTTTTGATCAGCCATTCCGATAGATAGATAGATTGTAACGTTCTTCTATCTTAGAAGGAGAAAATGAATCGTGTGCATATATATATATGAGTGTTGGAATTGCATGTACTCCATAAACGTATATGCATGGATAGAGAAAGTACATGAGAAGTGGGTATTTAGTTCTCGGAGATGGTGAGCCGTCAAAATCATTATATGTTTTCTGTAAGTTACGAGAGAGATAGTTAGTAGAAATTAATGATTAGTGTTGATTATTTTGGTTAATAGGGATAAATCATTAATTAATGTTAATTATATCTATTAATAATAGGCCGTAAGTTGTAAACGTTCAATAGTTTCATAGGCTTAGGTTCCCCATCCCATCACATGCAATGGAGCTTCATGATATCTTTGCTTGTTGCCATCTTTCAAAATCTTCTCTTTTTTCAAAAATAATCATGAAAATCTATCTACTCTTAAAGGGCGTATAATATATATGGTTAGTATATTTATAATTATAAATTTCGATGTACTTATAACATAGGTTTCCCATTTTTTTGGTGGAAAAGGTGATGTGTTACGTATTATAAATGCAAGGTAAGCTTTTGCCCCAAAAAAACAAAAAAAAAGGTAAGCACGGTAGCTGGTGTTGGTTCTGGTATGGTCGGTGTAAATGTGTAAATATAAACTTAGCAAACTAAATATGAAATGGTAAATTCACAACATAGTAACTAGTTTGAACAGATTTCGTCAGAAGTTAATCTTCTGGCATAATCATTTGGGGTTAGTCATATCATATTAGTACATTACCACAACACGTTACCATTCAAATTATTAATTATATTAAACAAACATTATACGCCATCTCTTTTATACTCCTGTTAATATTGTATTTTACAGAAATCTTAGTTTGTTTTCCCAATAACAATATGTTTGCACTATTATCGACACTAAAGCATTCCCAAAAATTATAAACCACAACTAATTTCAATTTATTTATAGTATATCTTCCATTCATATATTTTGAACTTCATTTGATTGATAAGTATATATATCACACTGAAAAAGTAATCTTCATATAAAAATAGTACTATTAAAAAATAAATAGAAAGGTGAAAACCATGGAAAAAAATATCCCAATGGTTTTAAGTCAATGGTAAAGTATAATATTTCCACGTCTCCGTGTATGATCACCCACCAAAACTGCATTTCTCAGTCATCTCCGCCGCCGCTTAAATCCTTCTCCGTTCGTTGTGCCGCGTCTTGCTGATGCTCTCCCGACAAGTTCAGCGGCCGCCTCGTCGTAAGCACGAGCAGCCATCTCCGCCGTCGGAAACGTTCCAAGCCACCTCCTTGCTTTCATACTCGGATCCCATATCTCCGCCGCCCATTTACCCGATGGCTTTTGCCTCACTCCTTTGTATTTCTTCTCCTTCTCCATCTTTCCATGAGGCCGTTGGAATGTGCAGCCGTAGCAACCCGTGACGCCACAGATAGGACAAGGACCAGCGTCCGGAGGCGGAAGAGCTTCGACGGCGATCAAGTTTGATGATGACGTGTGGCCTCCGGAGTTGGAAATCACTTGTCGCAAGGCAGTGACCATGATCTCATGCTCTTGATCTCTTGTCAAGCACGAAGAAGAAGGAGGTGGTGGTGCAACTTGGGCGAAATTTTCGTGTTGATTATTAGAGAGAGCATTTTCTGAACAATCCGTTTTCGTGGGATCAAACATGAAAGAATTCATTTTTGACGGGTGAAGAGCTACTACTAACTAAATGATCCAAAGTGTTGTGGTGAGTATTTGAAAACAAACTGACCGAGTATATATATATAGGCAATGAATGATTGTTACCATTTTTAGCATTTGTGTATAAAAGTTACGACGTAGGGCCGTACGAAAATAATACATGAAGTATGGGTCAACGGTCTATATATACTATATTTGCGGCTTCTACCATTGCGACTTCTATTATTATTCAAGGAAAAAAAAAAGGTGAAGTGTTTATGTGATTTAATCTTATCAGGATCAAGCATCCAAATGTTAGAAAACTTAGTTTAAATTCACTATATTGTCCCGCGTAAGGGTGTGGATGTCAAATTTTAAAACAAAAGGTTCGTGAATATCATGTTCTTACACTGTATTGTTTAAAAATAAAATGGTAATTGGTAAATAATATGTAACAATGTCGTCCATTACTGAAACTTGATACAGAAAAATATAGAACTAACTGGTACAGTGTATAAATGGTTAAAATCATCGGAAACAATTAGTGAGTATGTTCTTTGTATAAATTAATGGTTAAAATCATCGGAAACAAATAGTGAGTATGTTCTTTGTGGCCGCGTCATTATCGTAAAGGATCACGTTGTGAATATAATTAGTGAGTTTGTTCTTGTCGCCTACCATATGTAGTCCACGCGGCGCCAAGTTACTAAATATATCCTTCGACAGACATTGGATTTTATGTGTACCGAAGAAAGGACGGTTATATGGTTTCAGATTGCAAGTATCGCACAATTCATATTTCATACTACTCTTAGCTTTCAAGTATTTTTGACCCTTTTTGCCGAGTAGACCAAATCTACACGTCATTTTCGAATTAGTATCATACCATTTTACTCAGCAGCGTAATGTAAATCCTGTACACTTCTAAAGTGACATGTCACTTTCGAGTTTGGCAACAGTGGTCTATTAATTAAATTATTGGCTGAGTTGGCTTATACATAATATAATATATATGTCATGTTTTAAACATATGCAATTCTTTTGTAGATATTTCTCCAAGTCAACTGTTTCAAAAAGATGTTGTTTCAAAGACATTCAAGTCAATTTGTATTCCTTTTCTGAGAATGAACTATGATCACTATTAACGCAAAAAAGTGAAGTATTGTCTTCACACAAACAGCACAATACACACACAGTCTCTTCTTCAATGGGACTTTTTTTTATTAGTTTGGTTCAAACTTTTGCACTAATATTTTTGTACGCTTTTACAAGTTAAGTGGCATAGGTTTTGATTATAGTTTTTCTTTCTCACTGGTTATATAACCTGAGCAATAATTATCCGGACGTAAGACCTCGAATCCTAATTCTCCTATATATATATATATATATATATCTTTCTCAATCATCTCCCTCATGGCTTCCTGCTTCTCCGTTCTCCACGTCTGGCTAGTCTTCTCCCGACAAGTCCAGCCGCTGCTTCCTCATAAGCCTGCGCTGCCATCTCCGCCGTAGAAAACGTTCCAAGCCACCTCCTTACTCTCAAACTCGGATCCCATATTTCTGCCGACCATTTACCTGATAGCATTTGAAAATTACATAAGCTGTTGTGAGACAGACTCAGAGCTGTTTATAAATTAAAAGTTACCTGATGGTTTTTTCCTCACTCCTTTGTGCTTCTTCTCTTTCTTAATCTCTTCGCGTCCTTGTCGGAATGCGCAGCCATAACATCCGGTGACGCCGCAAAGGGGACAAGGGCCAGCGTCCGGAGACAGTAATGTTTCGCCGGCGATACAGTTAGATGACGTGTCACTTCCTGAATTGGATATAACTTGTCGCAAGGCAGTTACCATAATCCCATGCTCTTGATCTCTAGTCAAGTAGGAGGAAGAAGAAGGACGTGGATGGGTAAGACTTTCGGTTTGATCATCAGAGGGAATATTTTCAGAGTACTCATTTTTCGTGTGGTCAAACTGCAAATAATTCATTTCTACGGCGAAGACCTCCGCAAAGGACACCGAAGTTGGCGTGAGATTTTGAATACAAAGGGGACGTACGAGTTGAGTGGTTTTTAACTTTATATAATAGGAAAAAAAAACTTTATATAATAGGGGGGGAACAATGTCATTTTCGTCATTAATAAGTATAGGTCGTCGTGTGTCTCATGTAATCTAATACAATGAATGTGTGTCTCATTCTACCCAAAAAAATAAAATGAATGTGTGTCTCATGTAATCTTAGCTAATATAGTGTATAGATTTCGGCATGTTTTTTTTTAATTGATTTTTTTGACGTCACGCATGAAGTGTTTTTCTTTTTTTTTTGGTTTTAATGTCGTAGTTTTTGTTTTTTTTTTTAAAAACGGCTAATTTAATGTTATAGTTAAGAATATGAGTTGCTACATGCTTGCTAGTACATCCTTAGATTATTATTCATATAATATAAATAAATACGGTGCAGCCGTGCAGCTGCTGGCTTGATTATAATGTTGTATTCCATTGAGCTTTGGCGGCATGGCCGGTCCATTAATTACGGTGGTCCAAAGCAAATACTATAGTTGTGGCCCTTATTTGCGTATGGATTATGTATAACGTTGATGGTATATGGTTGGTCATAGCAATTAGAAAAATCCCGAATAGTAAACGACTCGTTTGTCCTGCGGACGGGCTTTTTTTTGTTTTAGAAATTAGACCTAAGAATTAATATATAAATAACCACATGATTATAAGAATAACGATAGGCCCAATATCAGACAACTCATAATATTTAATTTGGGCCTTTAATGGTCCATTACACGAGCAATAACCCCTCTCTTATTTTTCCTCTCTCTTTATCGTGGGAAACAATCCGATTTCATCGAAGAAGAAGATGGGCGTTGGCCGTTGGGGGATCTGAAACTGCGGTTAATGCGTTCCATTCAAAAGATGCAGAACAAACCCGTCTAGGATGAGATAACTCTGAACTCTGAAGTGTTACTTGAAACCGGATCATGTAATATTCGTCATTGACAGTAGCCTTGGTCAAGCAAAGTTTTTGACGTTGAAGTTGTTCAGTTGTTGCTAATATTAACGACACCAATTCACATTTTAATTGTTTTCATATCTCTAACCAAACATGTAGTCATTGTTATTGAAGTGTTCGAACTAGTAATGCAATTCGTTTTTGGTCAAACGTTATGCATAAAGCATACACATAACCGGACCCGTCAATGTGTAGCTTATAAAATATAGAAGCCCCTCTCCCGACACGTCTCTCACAGTCCCTCTATTTCTCTCTTTCTTATTACAAATTCTTAATTCTCCTCTGATCATATTCCTCACCAGTCAGTTACACAACTCTCAAAACGTTAACGTATTTCTCTAAAGAATTTGCTCTTTCTCTCTTCTGAGTTAAACATGGTCGATGTTTCCCCGAGAGCGACCGGTTTGACGCCGGCTCACGCAGCCGGTCTCCGCCGTCTCTCAGCTCGCGCCGCCGCTCCACCTAATCAGACGATCAGAAACAGCGTTCAATCTCTCTCTCCTTTCGCCGATAGAGTAATCAACCATCTTACAAATTCAGGTATCGATATCCAACCGGGTCTCTCCGACGCTGAGTTTTCCCGAGTCGAAGCGGAGTTTGGTTTCACCTTCCCACCAGACCTCCGTGTTATCCTCTCCACCGGTCTCTCCGTCGATGCAGGGTTCCCAGATTGGCGTTCTCCCAGAGCTCGTCTCCACCTCCGTGCCATGATCGATCTCCCAATCGCCGCTGTATCGTTACAAATCGCGAAAAACAGTCTCTGGTGCAAATCTTGGGGCTTTAAACCACCGGACCCAGAGAAAGCCTTACTGCTGGCGAGAAACGCCTTAAAAAGAGTTCCTTTATTGATACCTGTCTTCGATCACTGCTACATTCCTTGTAACCCGTCTTTAGCGGGTAATCCTATCTTCTTCGTCGACGAGACTCGGATCCTTTGCTGCGGGTCGGATCTATCCGAGTTCTTCGAGCGTGAATCTGCTTTTCGCAGCTCCGATTTCTTCCCAAGAAGACTCACCAAGCAGCGTTCGGTTAGCGAGCCATCAGCTGGATCATCCTCGAATTTCTCCAGTAGAAGCTTAGATTCGGGTCGAGCTAACGGACCGGGTACGTCGAGATGGGTGGAGTTTTGGAGTGACGCGGCGGTGGATAGTTGCCGGAGATACTCATCCGCCTCATCATCATCGTCTGCTTCTTCTTCCTCATCTCAGTCCTCATCTCCGGACATTCCCAAAACCGAGACTCCGAGATGGGTAAACCAGTACGTAAACCGGATCGGTTCTATTTTGAGAGGAGGCGGGTGGAGTGAATCCGACATCGACGAGATTATCCACGTGTCAGCATCGGGTTTCCTTGCGGGTGAAATGGTAATTATTGATAATCAAACGGTTCTTGATGTGCTATTACTGAAAGCGGGTCGGATATCGGAGTCGCTCCGTAAGTCCGGGTGGAGCTCCGAGGAAGTCTCGGACGCGCTTGGGTTTGATTTTCTACCGGAGAAAGAGCGGAAACCGGCTAATAAACTATCGCCTGTGCTTGTCGAACGATTCGATACACTTGCTGAATGGGTTTCCCGGTCCTGAAACACACATTATATTGGAATTATTGGTGATATATATATTACTGAATAAAATCTGAAAATTGTACGTTTGCCCAAAAAATAATAAAAATAAAATCTTAAAACTGTATATTAACTATCCCATGTTTTGCTTATGGGATAGTATTTTAGATAGTTTTATTTAGGATCACTAAACTCAACAACGCACGTTTTTCCCAAACATAACACAAACGGCTTCGTTCGAACGCAAAGTTGTTCTTTTTAAATAAAAATCATGTTATAATAACGAGCTATATATATATATAGGTGAAACTACGATGATGAAACGAATACTTCTAAGTTCTTTCTGTTTGGACCGATCGACGAGAAAGTAACAATGATTAATAAGTTTGATTTTCTTTTCTTCTCCTTTTTCAACTTATTGTTTGAAATAATTCCAACTTTTATGAAAGAAGAAATACTCAACACGAAGACAAGCTGACGGAAATGATTCAATGTACAATAAAGCCTAATAATATAAATAACGAACTTAAAGTTAATAATATCAGATAACTTGCATTATTGAAGAAACTATACGAATTAAGCCAAAATCAGAAAGTGATGTATACTTAACCAAACCTTCAATAATCCAAAAAATAATTCAGTTGGATGAATTGAATCGGACAGCCTAGATATACACTAGGAAATAAAATGTATTTGGATGTGTTACGTGCACATCAGAATAAAAGGCAATGTCGTTGGTTACATTAATCAAACATTATTATTAAGCAATAATTGAAATCATCATATATGAAACTACTAGTAGTATTACTTTGTGTTATTGTATAACCCTGACCCGTTTCAGTATTCAATAGCTACTGACTATCGTTTAAGAAGATCAGTGTATTTTCCTATCAAATTGTGATATTACATTTTGCATATATATACGAAAATTCGTTCGACTATAATGCTATATACACATTATCTCTACGCCATTAATGATGTTCCTCCGATCACGTGGGAATCCGACCGTCCATCACGTGACATCCCCAAGAGACTAATTTTGTTCACGAGGGAAAGTCCAAAAAGAACAACGCAAATAATTGTAAACAACAGAAAAATCATAAAGAAGAAGACTCATGCATGCAGAGACATCACATGAATATACCAACGACATTTAATCAGAATAACAACCACAGGGATCTAATTAGAGAATATGCATCAAACACACAACAACGGTTGATGATGTCGTTAACAAAGTACGTTCCGATCGAATGAGCAAAGAAATATCAATCGTTCCGACCGATCCAAAGGCTTTGTTCGGTCAATTTAATAGTTCGCAATTATTTAGGTAAAACGAGAAAGCCAGAATAAACAATATATATAGGATTCGTCGAGAAGTCAGACCAAGAAAAAAACCGTTGAATTACTACAGAACTATATATATGGTTATATATAGTTTGACTTTATGAAAGAAAAATAAAACATATGCAAAACACCAAGTGAAATGAGACAGTGAATATAAATGAACATAGGAGGGCCTTTACCTCAAACATCAAAACATGTCAGTGAGATTATTGATTCTCGCTTTATAATTCTTCTTTTCTCATATTCACATTAGTATCCACATACATGAATAGTCACATGTTCAGAGCAAGGTTAAAAAAAGAAGATTCATACGGAGGGTTCAAAATATTTATCATCTTTGTACATGTGTTTAATATAATCGGTAGCTAGCTAAATCGATTAAATTAGAAAGAAAGCAATTAATTCGATATAACAAATTACTTTTTTCTCAGTACTCAGAATAGACTATTGTTGTCAAGAGGTTAAATAAAATGAAAAGTAAATGTCTTTGTATAATAATCTTTTTCGTTTCAGGCCTATATATACATACACATACATTGCAATGCAAAGAATAGCTGAAACCTGAAAGCATTTTTTTTTTTCCTTTTCTTTCTTAATTACTACACGAATTATCTGCCAAACCGATAAAATATGTATATAATTGTCACACTCGGTTATTCAAGCTGCTTGAAGTAATTTATCGTTGCTCTCATTCTTCCTCGTCGCCTTCGGAGTTTTCCTGATCACTTTCACCCTAAACGCCGCCTGATAAAAAACCAAACCGTATATTATTTATTCAGAAACCAAGAACGGTATAAAACCGCTTCGGATCAAAACACATCCAAAGGTGAGATTTGGTATGTTAACTCACCTTCTTGTCTGAACCAAACTCGATGATATCGGACGATCTAAACCGCCCGGGAAAATTCGGTGTCGCTCTGTATCGTCTTCCTTCGTTACTAGAGAACACATCCAAAAGTTGCAAAATATTCGATCAGATATTTCAAAAGTTAACCAGCCACCATATCGGTAAATCTTATAGAGACTTACTCGGTCACAAAGGTTCCGTGTTCGCTTCCAAGATCCATCAAGAAGAAAGCTCCATCTTTGTAAATCACACGAGCATGCATTTTCGAAACCTAAATCAAAGATTTGACAATAACAATATGATGTTCTTTGACCAATCTGACGCAGCATCTCAAGTCGCACTACGAGATACCAGAGTTTATTAATAATACCTGAGACGAAGGGATCACAATGTGCTTTCCAGGTAAATCTTGATCTGGTTCGCTTCTGTAATCAAACAGAATTTTCAAATTTTCAAACTCTTACACTTTGCTTCTAAGCAATCATTTCTTATGTAAACTTGAACATGTACTAGGAAATAAAGCTAAAAGACATTTGAAATGGTGAGTTGTTTTATACCCGACGATGCAAGGTTGATCCTCATCTTTGGTTAGACATAATGTTTCCGAAACGCAACACTCATCGCCGTGTGGAATCAGATACCATCTGCAAATAAATTTAAGAGTCAGACCAAAGCAATGTAGAAAGCAAGACTGTCCTTTTTTTGGGTAAGTGAAGAGCTATAATGAAGTAAATGTTGAATTCAGGGAAATTTGAGTACATACTCTCCGTTTATAGTACGTTCAAGAGCATCATCGTTTTCAAACCACTCTCGAAGCCGGTCATCAGCCTTCAAACAAAGATTTACACTTTCATATTAGTCATCAAATCAATTTGTTTTGAGCAAAATAGAGAAAGAACGAAGCATACTTTATCAGTGAGTCTGCAACTAGGTGGCCTTCCTTCGAGTTTTTCACTGCAAAAGCGTATATAGGAGTTGGCTTTACGGTCTGTTACTGAAATCTACAATATTTTAAGCTCTTTTTAGAAAAATTGAGAGCAAAGATCTCACCTGTTACCTCCCAGGACCCAGTTAAGCATTAAAGGCATAGCAATGTCAATGAAGAATCTCCCACCAACTCTCCCGGGATGCGGTACTCTAAACTTGGTCAAGAACTGTAAAGAAACAAAGAATTTGGAATTAGAGTTTAAATGAACAAACAAGAGTAATTTCTTTGTGTAGCTATCAGTGAGAGCTATCAAGATACTCACAGACAGAGGACCAAGCCCAACACCTAAGTATGCTTTGTAAGTGGAAGCCATAATTGCAGCCATCCTCGCCATCCCATGGATAATAGCGACTCTTAGCCTTCTAGATTCCTCATATCTAAACCAAAGCTATGTTTAGTATTCATCAGAAGCCCAAACTAATCAAATTGAGAACTGATATTCGATATTTACTTTTTCAAAGAGGAAACAACATCAACAGACGTATTAGTTTCAACACTCTGTTTCCATGCTTCTTCAAGCTCCAATGCTAATTGAAAACTATCCTGCAAATCATCAAGAAATTCCCCTTAATGACACTATATTTAATAAGTCAAATTGTTGTAATTTATGTATCAGCTAGATACCTCAATAGCCATGCATCCACCTTGACCCATATTTGGCTGCATCGCATGGATAGAATCCCCGAGCAGTGTAACACGCCCTTTACCCCAAGTAAAACTAGGACTTCTATCATAGATATCTCTTCTCAGAATTGCATCCTCCTCTGTTGCATGCAACAAGTCGAGCACATTGTCGCACCACCCGTCAAATATTTCAAACAATCTTTTCTTCATACCTAAAATATCGAATAGAAAAGAAGCTTATGTGAACTGATACAGAATGCAATCCATAGAAACAAATCAAAGAATCCAGATATTTACCATTGGGAGCATCGGTCCCACCAGCAGGTTCCTCGTGAAATGCATACCATTGCATTTTCCCACCACCAACATCCGAAGAAACAAAGTACTGTTTGTGTCCCAAGAAAACCCGGTAGCTTTAAGAGAGAATGAAACAGTCCCAAAATCAGACAAAGATTCATAATCAGTGAAGAGATGCATGGAATTTTGTCGGACTACAACATACCCAACCGACTCGATATCCGCAGGTATAAAATCTGCAATCCCCGTGTAACAAGTGTAGCCTGAATACTCAGCCTCACTACGACCAAACAAATTATTTCTCACCTACAAACAAAACCCAAAAGGCATAATCTTTTCAGTTCAATCCTCAACAACAAATGCTATTTGTCACACTCTATTCAGTTAAAACCTACTTTAGACCAAATACCATCCGCACCCACAAGCAGGTCACCTTCATATCGCTGACCATTCTCGAGCACCACAGTGACCTGAAGCAACAAACCCATACAGCTACTCTTGAAAATTTCCTTAAATCAATAGTCTCTATAAAGTAAAGAACCAATGATCACCTTATCACCAGAATCTTCAAAATCAACAACATTACTTTCGTTTCTAATCACTTCTTCTCCAACAGCGCGTGCTAAGATCTGCTGCAGAGTCATTCTGCTAATGACTCGAGTCACAGGAAGTCCCCTTGACGCCGCAGGAGTAAAAGTATCAAACTTGACATACCTGATTGATTCACAAACAATAAATAACCAGAGTTTCCCAGTAATTGATATATTACAATCTATGGATAGCAAACTTCTCAATCTATATATACCTAGAAAAAGAAATCAAAAGAGTTACTTCACGAGTCCTAAGCAACTAAACTCAAGATAATGATAACTTCTCAACTCTTCAAGTAGCATAACATCAAATTACTAGATCGAAGCATAGTGGCTCACTGAAACACTGATCAATTAAGAGAATTTAGTGGAAACTCACCAAGTACCAGAGACTCCATCGACGAGACCGTTAATCCGATCACCGGTAATACAACCAGCTTCCATAACTTGTTCAGCAACATCATTATCAATAGCTTCCAAAGCAGCCAAAGCGTTACTCTGTATTTGAATCGGACCTCTGTATTGTCCTTCTCCTCTAATAGCACTCAAATCTTTCTCAAACACCAATACATCGAATCCTTTCTTCTTCGCAGCTAAAGCAAACACCAAACCTCCGATTCCACCTCCGGCAACTAAAACCCTCGATTTCTTCTTCCTCTCCGTCACTTCCCCTGGCTTTTGCTCCTCCTCAACCAACGCCGTCGCAGCCTTTACTCCGACCAAAGTCCGACGGCTCCTGAACCCAGATAATCCTCCTCCAACTCCTGATTTCCCAGTAAAGGATGATAAATCTAAGTAAAACTGTTTAGCAACGGGACTAAACACATGGGTCCTCGTGAAATCAAGCTTTGATGGAGATGGATTGATTGAATAGCAAAACGGAGTTGAACCCATCTCGAATTTGTCACCGGCGAGAAGTGCACCAGCCCCGCTTATAAAATTCTTGATCAAAATCTAAGACTTTATCTGTACTGATGCCTCTGAGACTCTGACTCAAACAAGAGAGAAGAAGAAGTTGTTTGAGGAAGAAGAAGAAATGATGGAGAAGGAGAAAACAGGTGTCATCAGCACAGCAACACACTTCATCTCTCACTGCCTAAAATATCGCTTCCGATGTTGACATGTCTGTTCTCTCAGCCATTAGAATTCTCATTTAAATAAATAATATTAGAAATGTTTGGTAAAATATTTGAATGTGACGTGATAAGAGCTTGCGGTGGATTCTTTTCAGGATTGTGAATGGATAAATCATAAAATCAAAATCATTATAAGTTTTATTTCTTATCCCCATTTTAAGCCACTAATTTCTTTTTTTTTTTCCTTTCTTTTTTGACGTGTCTCAGTTTTTATCTTAAATATTATTCTACTATGTCGACGAAATAACATAATTTTGTTTTTCAATCATCAGAATATCACACTATTTTTATTTGGTAAAGTAAATTCACCTGAATTTTTTTTTAAAGCCAATATAATATAATAATATATGCTGCACATATCACTGGACCAAAACTAACGGCCCGTTTAAAATAGCCCAAGCCCATTAAAATAGGTGCGAATGCCGACTGAAGATTAAAATACACAACCTGGACTTAGAAGCCCAACGTAGCTCAATAATTACAGTGAAGTGATAAAAGCCTTTTATGTAATAGAAACATCTCTATGAATTTGGAAAACACAAGGAGGGGTTAATAGAGTGGCATTCACATAATCTTGAGGTGTATGGTTTGAAATGCCAGGGACCATAATCCCCAACACCCTCCCACCCTTCAACAACCATCCTTCTCTAAACTCCGATCCCTTCTCAGTCACAATAGTGAAGCTTCTTATGAGCTCCAGTATAGCACTGTGCATCATCTTTACAATCCACCGCAACGAGAAAAAGTTTTCGTCCGATAGCTCTCTCAGAACCTATATAATGAAAGTCACAGAAATTAAATTGCATAGTTCTTTTATACTTTTCGCAAATAATAATGAACAGTATATATACCTTTGCTTGATAGTGCCGGTCGTAGTAGATGCAAGTGCCAAAGTGTTTGAACATCAAATCCTTATCATCGTACGGCAATCTTGGAACTATGTCGTTGTTATAAACAAATCTATAGTACTTCACGTCATATTGTTCTAATTTCTTCTCCATAAATACACCAAACTTGGAATCTCCAACTCTAGGTTGTCCAAAAGTATATACCCCTTGGATCCTCCCCAACAACTCTGTCTCATCGTGAATCACAAGCACAGCAGTGAACAAGATCGCGAGGGCTCCTCCTAAGCTATGACCGGTCAGAACGAACTTAGTGTTTTCGTTTTGAGCCATCAGGGTTTTCAAAGAGTCTCTGATCGAGTAATAAGCTAAAGGGGACAATCGATTAGGGTTTGGGAGAGGTTCCTTTGGCCAACTGCAATTGTTTTGAAGCCCTAGAGCTTTCATGAAACCACCATGGATCCTCCCAATGTTTGGGAGCTCATACCATGTTATGTCGAAATCTGAACACCAATCTTCGGAATTAAACGGTTCGGTGCCTCTGAATGCAACCACCGCCGTCGTTTCTTGACCGTTGGATGGTGTCGCTGTTTTATCTGTAGACATTATAAGGGCTTGTGTTGTTTCCTTTTGTTGGTACTCTGTATTAATAACATAAAAATCAAAATCAAAACATATATAATAATAAACATGATTAAACTGAATAAGCTTTCGACTCAATGCATACCGTTCCAATAGTCAACGAGGCCTAAATAACTCATATTCCAATGATTCTCGATGACATATTCGATACGGGCAGAATTTTCGTAGGCAATCTTTGAAGCCATAATGGACAATACAGCATAGTATCTGTCTCCATCTTGGCGATTCATAGTCTTGTCTAAACTTATTCTCCTGTCCAAATGTCCGATAAAAGATTGATAATTCTCCGACGTCGGCTTCGGCAACACCACTTGTCCTGCATCCATATATGGTAAATCCACAAATTGGTATGATTAATAGTATGAGATTATAAGAGAGGAATAATTAAGACAAATGTAAATCATCAAGACCTCGGAGGAAGAAACCGGAGAAAGAGTTATCGGAGAGGAAGTTTAAAGAGAATTCTAAGGCGGAGCCAAGGAGAGCCAATATCTCCGAAAAGAATCGGAGAAGCTTGAGAAGGACGAGAGAGACGAAGATAAGCCATCGACGTCGGAAACTTGGTTCTTTGGTCTCTGAACTATCTACTAATCTTGGCTTCTCGATATCACCGGAGAATAACAGACGGAGAAGTTCCAATGGCCGGAGCTCTTCCGGTTGGAGAATCAGATATCCTCTCGGAAACTCTTCGTCATCATCGTTATTGTTGATCATGTTGATTTTTTTTATTTTTATTTTTTTGTGTGAGCATTGTAGTGCGAATGAAATTATATTTATGTACGTAATAAGTTAATAAACTAAACATATGTGAGGATTTGGATAGACCGTATCGTAGATTTAGAATACTTGGAGTTGTGGGAAAACGAGATTTAGATTTTGTTTTTGTAAAGGTGATGTATAGATTTGGTCTTCGAATATATGAAGGTTACACACGTGGGCTGATGATAGTAATTATATGTAAAAAAAGAAACGTGGTAACCATATGTGTTAAGACAGTACGTGGAAAACGCGACCCCCGCCGGCCTTACTTGTTCTTATTAACGAACGTGGTGTGTGCACTGCATATGGATGGGCTGTGAATACGAGCTATGTGGCCCATTGATTTGTGATCTTCAACCCAAATTGTCAAAATGCTATTATGTGCTCTTCTTCATCTTCAGAAGCAGTAATCTATTGTCGAAACTAAATCAGATTAATGAGTCGATGGCTTAGACTTTAATCAAAGATAGGAAATATTGAATGGTATGTTCGAAAGAAAAGAAATCAAGGCTCTCTTTACACAATGTAGTTGTTTTTAATCATTATTTTAAAATTTCAACTGGTGATCAAAAAACATAATTACCAAGAACACAAAATAAAAGTACTATGTTACATTTGATATATTTAGGTAAAATGCCAAAAACTATCAAACGTAAGAATTTTTACACATAGGTTTTATATTTTGATAATTCTGTGTAAACATATGTTAGTCTTTTAAGTTGGCAAAAACAAAAGATGGTAGCTACTTTTAACACAATTTTATTTTCAGACGACAGATGCGATCCACTGATTAAACCACTAGATCTTTTGAATCATTGATAATTGTCTGTTTGCCAGTAACCAAAACACAATATACAAATGCATATATAATATCCCGATGTGATCACTATGTATGGTATATATATGGATGCATAAAGAAGAACTGAAAACAAGTAAATGGATGCATTCTACAGTTGTAATATTGTACGTGATCCTTTTCAAATCTAAATAGGAAAGGAGAAAATATTCTGATATCCATATCATAAAAAATGAAAACATTATCTCATATCATATTTTTGTTTTTCATATGTCGTGTGGAGGTGCACCGGAAATGATAAATGAGTACATTTAACATAGCACAAGAGACGTAGAGGTGCGAGTAGTCAAAGAATGCACCCAAAAAACAGACTCAACAAAAACCAAAAAGAATAGAAGTAGAAATAATAATAATAATAATAATAATAATAATAATATAGAAAAACAAAGATAAATTGGGGATCTGCATTCCCAACACCTACCCATTTTAAAAGCTTCCTATTTTATATCTAATAAAATCAAAATCTTTATCAACCCACCTATTTGCTTGTCCCCATTCTTTTTTTTTCCAAATTCTACTACTTTTTTTTTTCTTCTATTCAAATTACTAAAATTGGTACATCTACGTTTTCGTTTCATGACGTTTTAACCTTCTACGTAATAGATTTTGACTTTTGTTGCCACCTCAAGACATTCGGAAGAAGAAGAAAACATATGGTTAGATTTTGTAGTTGGATCCTACTAGTATATGATAACTTTGGAATGCCATCAATTTGTCAATCTCAAATACTATTTGTCATGCATTCGTTTGCATGCATTTGGTATAACACAATATAATAGATTACAATAACACCCAATAATAACAAAAGGATAGTGCATAAACTTTATCCTGTCACAGCGAACATGAGAATTTATCCCCCAAAGAAAAGAGAGATAGAGAAGAGAAAAGAGGAAAAGGCATTGAAGAAAAGATAATACAAGAAAAGGAAAAACAAATCTTCATTTCTTCAATATTTCTAGCAGAAACAAAAAAAATAAATAAATAAAAAAGGGAGGAAGATGATAGAAATGTGTCAGAACAATACAGAGCACTTGCCCAAGAAGATATTATAGAAAATGTCTATATAAATCTAATCTTAAGGATATTGTAATGATCAGAGACTCTCTGTGGTGATGTTGGGACCTTTGTGGGATATCTCACGTGGGACGATTTTTTTTTTCTTCTAAATAACCCAACAACAATGTAATTTTTATATGGAGTAGTGGATATTTTATTTCTTTACTAGATTGTGTGAAAAAATAGTTGGATTGTTTATTATTTCGATTTGATAATAGGATTGATTTAATTAATTAATAATATATAAAGTGGGTTGTTAGTGGAGCAACGACTATGGATGATGCTTGAGACATGAACACGATTGTATCGCTACCTTGCCTTGGGAGGCAGCCATCATATCTCAACTTTGGAACAATACTACACATTATTTAAATAAATTAACAAATAAACTATACCATTTGTTTCTTGTGTTCAAATTTGGTTGTCTAATAGTATACTATAAGTGTTGGTCGTCGATGCTTTACTTCTTGAATTTTAATACAAAATGTATTTACCTTGAAATCATTGTGCCAAAATAAAATGTGGTATCCTTCAATGTATTGTCAAGGTGACTACACAACAACGGCGTATTACGATGTACATTCATATATCCGAAAATGTATTTTGGTAAATATTGTACGTCCAACTATCAAGTAAGTGTAATAATCTTCAAAAAAAATTTCTTACTAATTAGAAACTTAATTGTATTAACTTGACCTTGCATCTCAAAACATGCGCGCGATGTGTCATTGCACTGGCTAATATAACTCAGATTCGGGCCTGCATTGATGCTTTACATTCAGGTTTTGTATTGCATCTTAGCGTAGTTATAATTTAGTTACAACATTTTCATTTACCGAGTTTGTAACCATTATTCATTCACAACGAATATCGATCAATATCAGAAATTCAGAATTATCAATAACATGCAATGGATTGAGAGACAGCTTCGCCACTACCATGCAGAGGCGAACCAATCATATTCATATCTTTAGACATGTATATGTATATATGTCTGTGGTCCTTCTGAAGTTTTTTTTTTTGGGTACTCCTTCCTTTGTTCCCACTGTGCTGTCACATAGATTCTTCACAGATCTTTCGAGAAAGAGAGAGAGAAAAAAGGGAACAACAAACCGAAGGTCATAATAAAGTCGCAAGACTATGAAACAAAGCTGTGTAAAAATTCCAATCTGTAATTATCGAGATGGACCCGTGTTTTATCTTCTCGTTCTTGAATATATATTTACATCCATATTGGATATTCGACTTACTTAATTAACAGTCGATCGATTATACATTACAAAGAGTTTCTAATTTGGAACGTTATAAGTTTTAATCGAAAACACATACCAATATGACAATAGCTATGTTGACACCCATATTGTTACTAGTATTAAATGTGGCGTTAAGTGGAGACAGTGTTACACAAACAAAAGAGATGAGAGTATTTATTGTAGTGAATATATATATAGGGCAAAAGTGAAAGGAAAAAAGTGGACTATCGTACCGGTTTCTTGATTTAGAGAGAGTGAGGACAGTGAAAGGTCACCGGTTCGTAAATTTTTTTGCATGTTTTGGTGTCAACATAGGAGGGTAAAACCAAGATCGAAGCACTTGCTTTGTCTGCCTGTTTCTATCTAATTATGGGGAAGAACCAACCCAGCCAAAAAAAAGAAAAAGAAAAAAGAGTTATATATAAAATAAACAAAAAAAACCAGACTTAAATATGAGTTAAATGTGATTTTGTACAAATAAAGTGAGACAGATCTTGTAAGAACAGTGAGACTGAGAGGGTGTCTTTTTGGATTTTGTGTATGTTTTAAGGTAAGAATCATTTATTGTCATTTGTTTAACTTAACACTAGCTAGCTAGCTAGGATCGATGCTGTTGCTTCTTATCATATTTTTAAAGTAGTTTTTCATACTTGTATATCACTATTAATTAATTAATTTTTGTTAAACTTATCACTATTAATTAATTAGTGTACAAAACATATCAATGCCATTTAAATATTCGAACGTTTACCTGATCACGTATCAGATCCACCTTAAATGATATACTACAGTAGTATAATTTAAAATTATTAGTTGTGGGATACCTTCAGTCGCAGATTACTCGGGGGATTGCAAAAGCCATTTACAAATTTTGCTAAGAAAAAAAATTAAAATATCTCCTCTTTGTTGGGAATGATTAATAGAGTTGTCAGATGCAACAGATGATGATTTTTTTTTCTCTTTTTTTTTTCAATTCATCATAATTCTTCGGTTTCAAAAGTTTTGACAATTTTCATATAAACTGAAAAAAACCACCTTCGCCAGAAGGCAAGTAAAGTCAGTGGCGGTAGGCTACAAAAGTCTTATAAAATAAAATCTAAAATAAACTAAAAAAAAAAGAATTCTTAAAAAACTTAGTATAAAAGAAAGTGAGAAAAGGGGGTAAAATAAAACTTTTAAAAAAAGGAGAATTAAGTCGTTCTCAGATCGGCTTTGAGAAGCGTGCCATTACGCTAAGGCTCGATGTCAATCGAGAGATCCGATTTAATCATCCTCCATTATTTCTTTATCTATCCATATAGTATATGCTTATTCGTCCACCATTTGTTATATATACAACAGCACATAACTATTAACCATTTCTCGATAGTTATGACTTATGAGAATGTGTTAAGATTAATATTTTACAGAACAAGACAGTGCTCCCTGGATTCTGACATATCTCATGTGGATGTGGGGTAATCTTATTACCAAATGATGTAATAAACTATACGACTCTCTCTTATTTTTTTAGGTAAGTAATCATCTTTCTTGGATCGCGAGGAGAAACATTATTGGTTAATACAACAAAATCAAGGGATTATATATCTCCATCTCATACTTCAACAAATACTATATATATATATATATATATGACCTTTTCTCACGTAGAAAGATTGATAGAGAAAATTAGGGAGGATAAAAGTTTTGATTACGAAATGTGTCAAAATCAGATAATGGTGGGAAAAAATGGAATACTACTCGTTGTTGTGCTGGTGATGAGAGTGGTTCATGCACCTTGTTTTTGTCGCGTTATGCCTTCTTTGCAATTTAGTAACGGATCCAAAACCAATAGATGCAAGCCACGTGTGTTCGACAAGCATGATCTGGACGGTCGATAATGCGATAAAAGAACCATATGGTCAATCCTTGCGTGAATCGACGGTCAGTGTCCATCCTCATAAATGGAACCATTTTTCTTACTTCTTTTAGTCTTTTTTTTTTTCTTTACTTGTTTTTATTTTTGGATGCAAGACATGTTACGCAATAATTCCACTTATAGTAACTCATACATGTACACGCTTTTCCATAGCTTCTTCTCTTAGCATATAGCAACCCAACAAAATCTTCGCGGCTTACTTATTATTACTAGCTCGTTTTATATCAATGTATACAAACTATCTAATTATGAGAGTATCTATAGTAAATTATTTGTTCTCTAAAATGTTCGCTAATTTTTATCATCACAAGTTAAAAGATAAAGGAATAAATAAAATCCGCCTTAATATTTTTACTTAGCATGTTATATAACCTAAAATAGTTGGTATAAATGATATTGCGTAACTAAGTTTGTCCGAATGCATATTTGTATGTGGAATTTGCACTTAGACTAGAAGACAAATTTTGACATGTATATATTATTATATGCCCATAAATGTGAGAGTTGAAAATGGGAAGAAATTCCTTACAAAATTATAAATGTATATATAAATGAAATTCAATATAAATATGTGTAGTATAAGTTAAAGAAGATGGATGGGCCACAAGTTGCTATATAAATCATTCCACATCTTGTTGTATTGCTTGAGTTCTGATTGGGCACAGTAGTACCATTTGCCATTTCTCACACATACCGTCTCTTTGTCTCATCATCAATCATCCATCACCTAAAAGAAAAGAAAGAAAAAACCCTAATATCTCTCGTTTGTAAGCTTTTTTCACCAGTTTCTCTCCATACCCATTTTACCAGCTTCTCCATAACTCTCTCTATGGATTCTGACATCATGAACATGATGATGCATCAGATGGAGAAACTTCCTGACTTCTGTAACCCTAATTCCTCTTTCTTCTCTCCCGACCAAAGCGGCAACAACACCACTACTTACCCTTTTCTCTTCAACTCAAGCAGCCCTAACAACCACTCTGACCACTCAATGAGCAACGAACCAGGTTTCCGGTACGGTTCCGCAGGTTTACTTACTAACCCTTCTTCTCTCTCTCCCAACTCAGCCTACTCTTCCGTTCTGCTCGACAAAAGAAACAACAATAGCACGAACATGGCGGCTATGAGAGAGATGATCTTTCGCATCGCCGTGATGCAACCGATACATATCGATCCAGAGGCGGTTAAGCCACCTAAGAGGAGGAACGTTAGGATCTCGAAAGATCCACAGAGCGTGGCGGCCCGGCATAGGAGGGAGAGGATAAGCGAGAGGATTCGGATTCTGCAAAGGCTCGTTCCTGGTGGGACGAAAATGGACACAGCTTCCATGCTCGACGAAGCTATTCATTATGTCAAGTTTTTGAAGAAACAGGTGCAGTCGCTGGAGGAGCAGGCGGTGGTTAACGGCGGAGGAGGAGGAGGAAGGGTTTTGATCGGCGGCGGTGGTATGACGGGGGCGAGTAGTAGTGGTGGCGGCGGGGGAGGAGTAGTTATGAAAGGGTGTGGGACAATGGGGACTCATCAGATGGTGGGCAATGCACAGATTCTTAGATGATGATGATTATTAATTTTTATCATTATTATATTAATGGTTGAGAAAAGTGGTAAAAATGATTCTGGAGAGGGAAGAACTAATTTATATTAAAGAAACCTGCAACCCCTATGAGAGACTCTTAACTTTATATAATTCTTGTGTTTAGATAATAATAATGTGATGTGATGGTTTTTTCAAAGCCAAGACTCTCCATGGTTGTTGGAGCGGGTTGTAAATTAGGAACTTTATATTATGTATCTTGATAATGAAATAATTAAAGCATTAATGATGTCACGCGAATAGAGAGAGACGGCCGGAGAGAGAGAGATTCACATTTCACACAAATCAACTGGACATGTTTGATATATATGTTCCAGGCCCAGCCAGCCCAATAAGATGCTCTCTGGCTTTATTATTAGTATACTAGATAGTAAAAATGTTTATTATTAGCTCATTATGGATTATGTTTCCCCTACTTAATCTCCCATCTTTAAACTTGTTTACGAGGGTGAGTATTTGGCTATCTGCATCTTCTCATCATTTCCCTACGTTTTAGTCCATGTGGGGGTACCGCCATCTATTGGGCCTTGTCAAGGGAACAGTCACGATTGGTCTTTCGCTAAAGCTTTTCACTATTAGTCCGAAAGAGTAGTCCGATTCATAAGAAAGACCCAGCCCATTAAGCTCAAGCCGATGAAACGATCAAACGGTTCACAACCAATCATCTTCACATCTCTTATCCTACACCGGTGTCCCACCAGATGACTCATCGTCACAACACTCACACACACCCAAAAAGAAAAAAAAGAAGAAGAAACCCTCACAAAGCACAAAGCTGGAGGAGGTCCATAAATGGCGCATTTAATTAGAACCCTCAAAAAAGCATTCTAGTCTTCTTCACAACTGTGAAACCTTCCTCCCCCAGTCACCTCTTCACATGTGACTTAACTCACTACTCTCTTCTTCTTCTTCTTCTTCTTATTTTCTTTCTTCGCTCTCGTCTCCTCCTCCAACGATCACCATGGCAGCTCCGTCTCTCAATCTCCTTCTCATTCTCTCTCTTCTCACCTTCGTCTCACTCCCGAGATCTGAATCTCTCTCAGACAACCCATCCCTCGTTCTTCTACCCGACGGATTCGACTGGCCGATCTCTCACGGTCTCGGCGACGAATTCGACATCATCAACGGAGAAGAGAGCTTCGAAGTCGCGGAGGAAGAAGACGACGGCGTAGATCGACGGTCATTGTACTGGCGGAGGAGAAAGTATTACATATCGTACGGAGCATTGTCGGCGAACCGAGTCCCGTGCCCTCCCAGATCTGGAAGATCTTACTACACTCACAACTGCTTCAGAGCCAGAGGTCCGGTTCATCCCTACAGGCGAGGCTGCTCGTCGATCACTCGATGCCGGAGATATTAGAGTGGGCATTTTCGTAATTCCGCCAACCAATATTGGGATTTATTATCGATGTTTGTATTGAGCTTTTGTTGTAATGTACTGTACCCCGATGTGTATTGTAAACCGGTTTGATATATTATTACTACTATTAGTTAAGCTCGTTAAGAAATTTAAATTTAAACCCTTGGGGTTGTGTAATGTTTAAGCTCTCAGGTCAAACCCAAGACCAAAAAGAAAAACAAATGGTGATTTCCTAAGGCATGAGGGGTGGGTTGGTAATTTGCAACTGATCTCGTTTTGGTTTTTTTGTCGGTGCCTTTTTAATTATTTGTCTGTCCTGTTTAACGGGATTTAAATCCGGGTCACATGTATTTGGACTTATTAGAATTTGATCATGTTACTGCTTCCATATTCTCATCTGAACTGAAATTTATTTAAATATATATGGTTCGACCGTCGTATTTGTTTTGGGCCTTTGCTATTATTGTGTCGTTGTTTTTGACATTGTTGGGCTATTACTTTGGCCCGATTGAGGAATTTGGAGTCGTAGGTCATGGACATGTATAGATTAGTAGAGATGATTAGGATCTGACTTCGGTATCGGAAACGTGCATGGGTTAAGTATACGTAAATCATTTTTTTTTTTTTTGATAAAATTTCCGATACTAAAAACTTTGAAACCGTATACGTAATAAGATGACATAACAAAACAAAAACAAAACACACATAGATAAAAGCCATTAAACTCTACAGACAAACAACAACATACACATATGATAGTAGTCGAATGTTCTCAAACACGTTGTGGAAGCGTGATTGCAGCAAAAAAAAATCAATACATATGTTTTTTTTTTCCTGAACAAAATACATATGTTTAGCAGTTAGCACACTTATTTATAACTTCTAACACGTAAGTATTAATTAGCATGAAAAAATCGTTTTCGTGATTCAAGAGATACATAAATTTTGCAACCTATCAATAGTACGTACCGCATAGGCGCATACCATAAAACATGCACGTGTAAATAAAAAGGTCAACTTATCTTGAACAGTCAAGAGACGGCTTTTTTTGCCTTTCCTTTCGAAATTTCAAACTTGGAAGAAAACATATAAAACGAATTGTATTTTTGGTATGTTTTAGGACCTTCGACCCAAACTGATAGTTGGGATTAGAAGAAACATGTTTAAATAGAGATGCATGAACTTGTGTTTGGCGGCTACTTATGCGTTTGGTCTAAAGCTGACCAGCATTTTAATTTAATAAAAGACTAATCGTCCTTTAATTTGTCCCCAAAAAGATACATATTTTAGCTTGACTTTGGTATATATATACAAACAAAAAGTTATATAAAAAAAAAAAGATTATGCAAACGATAGAGGGTATATGACGTTGCCTTCTCCTAATTCAAAGGGGTCAATCTAAATTCCATATAACAAAGAATATTCCAAAGTTTTGGAATGTGGATAACTTCAAAAGACCCCTATTGACCTTGCCTATGACTACAAGGTTAAATCCACTTGGACGTTGAATTCGAACGTGGAACTAACCAACTATTCTGATTCAACTCTAAAATAGAGTCGTGTATGACCCCTACCGATATACACTGTTTCACATTCTCATCTCCGCAATTTTAGTTGAAAGCCCTTTTAAGTTCCATAATTAATGAACTATATAATCAATCGATTTATATTAATTGTGTTTGGTTCTTCCAAAGTGATATCCGCACAATTCTAGTGGGCTATATGTATATTTTCAAACGTACATATACTTTGGGATTGGGAAACAATATCAAAAACTATGAAAATTTTGGTTGGGATATTAATAATACTATAGCTATTTGCGATAAAAAACGAAAGAGTCTTCTTTATATTTTTCAGTTTTCACAATGATATAATCAATCAAATAGGGTTTCTAGAGAAATTAAGGTATACTACATGGATATATAATTCTACGATAGTAGATGACAAAGTTATTTTCTTGGTTTCACACCATACCATATACTATAAAAAAAAAGATTCTCGGATATATTTTACGTGATCTATACGAAAATGCCTCGCAAAGTATTGGAAACCTAGAGCTATGAAAAATGAAGTAGTTGTAGTTAGGACTTAGGAGGGCTGACTAAACCAAACTTATAGATGAAATATCGAGGAAATAAACTGTGGGCCGCCATATTTGTTTCAATATAATATTGAGTAACGAGCAACCAAAAAGATATAGGGGATAGGATTAAGCAAGTAGCCTTCCTCGGATTCAGTGAATTATCCAAGTCGCCTGGGCGGTGTTGGTTCATATATTCCTTTTTTACCTTCACATTTTCTCCATTTTCCAATAGTACTATTATTATTGTATGTATTTAATAGACAAAGCAAGTTGTAGAGTAGACATGCTCGTAGAGATCGCAACTCCACTCAATCTAATGGCTAGGGATCACGTCCATGTGACGCTTTCTTACTTTCTCACTAGTACTATATAAAAATTGAACGAGAAATAGGAGTATATGATTGGCTCATATGGACGCCCATTTCATATCTTTTTCATCAAAAGTCCCACTCTAGATTCTATAAAAACGAAGCATGTGATGATGGTTGTGGCTAGTGTTAACCTTCCCTTTCTTCTTCTTTCAACTTCGCCAGCCTCCGTTACAACATTAATTTGATATCTCTAATTCTTTTTCTTCTTTCTTATTACAAAAATTCATCATATAGAAGAAATTGAATATGTAAAATATTATTTGATTAGGTAATGTAGTAGTAGCCCTTTACTGATAAATAAACATTTAAAATCAGAGCCGCCGCAACTTGCGTAAGTCTGTTGGGGTCGAATGACTTCAGTGCGAAGCACCCCCTTCCACTCCCGCGCTTTTCTTGGCCTTCCTTTTATTTTATTTTAATTGTTACAACTTGAACTTACACACAATGTTTTAAAAGAAAAAATATTATGAAAATAAAGTACAAAAAGCATTCAGTATACAATCATAATATATATATAGTATACAATCGATGTCAAAAAAAAAAAAAAAAATAGTATAAAATCATAAAAATATATAAATGAGTAAATGAAGTCATGGCCATAATAAGGAATCCAGACTTGGGCAAGCAAGTTGGCCATGAAGTAATAACTCACATAAAAGCACTATAATAATAAGAAAAAATGATTGGAAGAGTTGTCGGATAAAGTTCTCTTTTCTTCTGTTGAAGCATCGAAACCAGTTGCGTTACTATTGGAAATGGTAAATTTACAACAAGTAAAGTAAAACTATAGAGCTCACATGCGAAGGCTGAGTACTAAATTATTAAACATGTATATAATCAATAATCTTTAAAATTTTGACAAAGCATAAATAGTCAATAATCGTTACTAGTAAACAAATTCTAAGTGCCTGTCAAGTGTCAACTATCGTCTAAATTGTTATTACCTAGCTATTCATTCAGTTATATATACTGGTTAGAATTACGTTTTTATCTGCCATGGTTATAATATTAGAAGCTTATACTTCTTTTGTTTTTTATATCACACGCATATAACTTATATAACCCAAGAAAGAAAAACCTAGAAACTGACCCAAATCTAAATGAAAATCCCACTTTGTGACTTATGGTAGTAGGACAAAGAAAAATGTTAAAATAGTGTTTCCAACGGGAAAGGATTTGATTCTTGGGTTGGGTGGTACACAAAAAAAAAAACATAAATAATTTTGCAACGCCAACTTGGTTAGCATGGTATGGTCGAAAATGAACATCTTGCCTAGCTACTTTATTGATAACAAGAATTATATTTGGCTGCACAAGAACGATATTTGTGGCCACAAATTGCATTAGTATTTTTTCTTTTTTCTTCTGTCACCTCCATACGCATATATTATGAGTTCTGAACGTGATTAGAGAAATACTAATAGTGTGATTACGATCAGGGACAGCTACGAAGGAGTGGCATATGCGATGAAGATTCTATTCTATGCCTATTCAAACAACATACAACATGAAAGGAGAGTCTAGAACAGAGGCCACGAAAAGAATATTATCTGTATATATACAAATCTATCTTCTGTTTTTATTTATTTATTTCTATTACAGCTACAATCAGAAATATACAAATACTAAAAATACAGTTTCTTCATGTGTATATATATTCTTATTTTTTCGGTTGTTTCATTGCGATTTTTCTTTTGTGTTACTTTTACCAATCTACAGTTTGTTTTCAATATTTCTAATAAGTAATAACATATCACGCATGTTCTGAAACATAAATGAAGTTACATACTAAATATATTAAACGCAAATTTTCAATAGAAACTGACTATTATTTAGCTACAATAACGATCATGATCTCATTAAACACTATCAAGCATGTTACTAATTTACTATACGAGTCAAAAAAATAATATCTACCTCGTGAGTGATAGATATTCGAACTTATACAAAAACAATAGTCATGCCATGATATTTATTTAAATATAATAACTAAAAAATATCACGTAGCATTACATTATTGTTAGTATTTTATCAGTTTACCAGCCTAACAAAGAAAAATCTCTCGTCACGTGCATTAATTACTCCCAAAAATTCAGACTTTGCAAATTAAATATATGATTTAAAAAATAAAAATCGTAACCTCAATTTTTATTATTATTTTTCATCTAGGAAAAAAAAAGTCAGTATATATAAATTGAGGAACTCGCACCAGGAAGTAGCATTAACCGTCACGAGCTTTCATGCTCTGTTTCTTTGTTTTTTTATTTTCTCTCCACTCGTTTTAAAAATTCAATCTTTATATCAAATTTTAAATTCTCTCGCATAATCGTGTCGGAGATTTGCTTCGATGGAGTGGATTCGAGGAGAAACGATCGGATTCGGAACGTTTTCTACAGTCAGTCTTGCGTCGCCGTCTAATAACGATTCCGGCGAGTTTCCTCCGTTAATGGCCGTGAAATCTGCAGACTCGTACGGCGCTGCTTCTCTGGTGAACGAGAAATCAGTTCTTGATAAACTCGGTGACAAATGCGACGAGATCGTTCGGTGTTTCGGCGATGATCGGACGGTGGAAAACGGAGAAGAGATGCATAACTTGTTCTTGGAGTACGCTTCTAGAGGAAGCTTAGAGAGCTATATCAAGAGCTTAGGCGGCGAAGGTCTACCGGAGTCCACCGTACGCCTTCATACAGGATCGGTGCTTCGAGGTCTACGACACATCCACGCTAACGGAGTCGCTCACTGCGATTTAAAACTCGGGAATATTCTATTGTTCGGTGACGGAGCCGTTAAGATTGCTGATTTCGGATTGGCGAAGAGAATTGGTGAAGTGACGGCGTTAGACGAAGGAGTTCAGATCAGAGGCACGCCGTTGTATATGGCGCCGGAAGCCGTTAACGATAACGAATATGGATCAGAAGGTGACGTGTGGGCTTTGGGATGTGCTGTAGTTGAGATGTTTAGTGGCAAAACGGCGTGGAGTTTTAAAGAAGGATCGAACTTCATGTCGTTGTTGATACGCATCGGTGTTGGCGAAGAGCTTCCCATGATTCCCGAGAAGTTGTCGGAACAAGGAAGAGATTTTTTGTCAAAGTGTTTCGTTAAAGATCCAAAGAAGAGATGGACGGCTGAGATGCTTCTACACCATCCATTCGTAGCCGTCGATCTTGATCACGACGGTTTAGTAGAAGAAGGCCTCGTTCTTAACCTGAAAACAGAGGAAGTCTCGACATCGCCGAGATGCCCATTCGAATTTCCCGATTGGGTTTCGGTTTCTTCCGGTTCACAAACGATCGATTCGGCGGAGGATAGAGTTGCGAGTTTGGCGACTGATTCGATCCCTGATTGGTCTGTCACCAATAGTTGGATCACCGTACGGTGAGGATAGCGATTTAAAAAACAGGGGACAAGAACAGAGTTGCAGAGAAAGGCTAGGTTTTTTTTTTTTTTTTTTATAAATTCCTAGTCAGATCCAACAATTCTAATTTAATTCGTTAATATTTGTTATTAGAAATCCAAAATTTAATCACTATGTAAAAACCAATTTTGTATTCATGATCCCGAAGTCTTGATTTTCTTCAGTATATATAACACCGGTTTGTATTCATGAGCCATTATCCCAAGTATCTTTTTCCATGAATGTGAACAAAGATCGTATATTTAGACACAATCACGCCACATAAGCTAATATCAAAATCTTTTGAGAAAGTAAAGATTAAGACTCTTGCACAAGGCTCGTGGCCACCACAGAACAGCGTACTTCAGACTTAGCATCATCTTCATCAAACCAACTCACCAATCCGTAAACCACGTTCTCTTGTAACGCTCTTGGGCTCTCCAATCTCACAGTGTAACTTAGCTTCTCATTTTTCTCGCTGAACATTAGTCTTTTTGGCTCCACGACGACATTTAGACCGTTCAAGCCTCTCACACTCACGTTGTAGCTTCTTCTCTTTGTTTCTCCCACGTTCGTCAATGTCCTCTGGAATATCTTGGGACCGTTTTGATCGGATGTAAAATAGGCAATGATTGAAGGGTAATTGAGATATGGAGATGGGTTCTTACACGCATAGGAAAGATTCGATCTTGTGATGATATTGATCAATTTTCTTGATTGTTTTGCATTGTGACAAAGGAAGTTTATGAAATCTTGTGGACTTGTATCATAGATTAGGCCAGGGTTCAAGACGCTGTTCGTACTCACATGTCCTGCTCCAACGGCTAAAGGGTTGTCTAAAGTCAAAGCCGTTGTCATAATTGCAGATTTTATAGCCGATGGACTCCACTTTGGATGGACTTGCTTTATAAGCGCCGCTACTCCAGCTACATGAGGTGCCGCCATTGATGTCCCGGTTAAGAGATTGAATCCACTAAGTAACGGCCTTGCTGTAGTTCCCGCAACTGGTTTTACTGGTGGCCAAGCAGAGAGAATCAGTGTCCCAGGGGCTATAATGTCCGGTTTAAGTATTTGAGGGAAGCTTGTAAACGGACCTCTCGAGCTGTATACGTCTACTTCTGGTGCTGGTTTTGTCCCGATTACCGTTTTCCGAAACTCCAGCCTCGCCGTCGCGTTGTTTATGTTGCTCAATGTGTAGCTTTTAATAGCTTCCCGGTGCTCTGAGCTGATGAATGCTACGGGGAACTGGTATTCTACTGTGTCTTGTTCCGTAAGTAACTTATTTGTTACTAAAACTACTGCTGCAGCTCCGGTGGATTTGGCTTCTTGTAGTTTGCTTCCGATGTTAACGTTTTCGTAGCAGACAACAATTATGTTAGCCAGAGTCTTGTTTCCGGCTTTGCAAGATTCGATGTACGTTACGGGATACTGAACTGAAGGAAAATCTCCGGGAAACAGAGAAGGAAAATTAAAGCTAACTCCGTTTCCTAACGTTAGGGTTCCTTGAAATTGCCGACCAATTGTTCCTGCTCCAACCGTCATAATCCACGGCGCTCCGTTAATCAAACTCCAGTAATACGGGCCGTCATTACCACCTGAAGCAACGACGAAAACGCCTTTTTGAATTGCAGCAAATGATGCTACTGCAATTGGATCATTTTCTAGACCTAAACCATCAGAGTCATCATCATCCTCCGAGCTCAATCCTAGTGACAGAGATATCACATCGACTCCATCTCGAATCGCTTGATCAATCGCTGCGATTACATCTGATGCGTAAATCCCTTCTTCCCAAGCGGCTTTATAGATCGCTATATGCGCGTACGGTGCGACTCCTGAAGCGGTTCCTTGCGCATAAGAGAAGTAAGATGCGTTCTTAACGTGATTGCCAGCAGCGATGGCCGCAACATGAGTGCCGTGTCCGATTGTATCGTGCGGTGAAGAGTATTGACCAATCTTGGTTCCTCTCAAATCAGGGTTGTTGGCGAATAACCCCTGGTTGAAAACTCTTGCACCAATTAGTTTCTTGTTGCACAAGGAAGAAGAATTGAATTGACATGCTCCTTTCCATTTAGACGGAACCGAACCGACCCCATCGTCGTGAAAGCTGGGACTGTCCGACCAAATTCCGGTATCTATAATACCGATGACTGTACCAGCTCCATAATTCGAGACAGGCCATGTACCGGATGCCGAATTTAGACCGATAAACTGCGGAGAGAAAGTGGTATGAAGCTTAACCGGTAAATCTTTGGTGAAAGAGACATACCCGGGTTTGTCTTTAAGACGTTGGAGCTCGGAGTTTGTGAGAACCGCGCTAAACCCGTGAACCGAATCGGTGTAAGCATAGATAATCCTTGGTTTTTTATCGGTTATAACCGAAGTAAGAGTAGTGGAAAACCAGCTTCTGTGATCGGGAAATGGTAACGGTTTGGCGGATAAGTCCATATGGATGATGTAAGTAGAGGTTTTCTCCGCCGTGGCAGCCGCTAGGAAGAAGGAGATGATCATAAGTATCACGATGGTAGTCGGCCATGTCTGAGCAAGTTTTTTCTCTGGTCTCACTAAACTGAAATAAGTTCTGGTTGTTGGTAAGAAAAAACTATAGTTTTAATTATAAAAAAAAAAGGTGGCAGAGATTGTAACCTTTACTTGGCTTTTGCTTTTGTTTTTTTTTTTTTTGTCGTCAAGCTTTTGCTTTTGTTAAAGTGATTTTAGGTGGTCGGCAATACATCTCTCATCATTGTTTCTTTTACTTTTGGGTTTATTAAAATGCATAAGGTCTATTGAATATTAAGCCCATTGGGTTCAAAAGGCGTTATACTTATCAGGCTAGGTAAGCGTTGTCGGATTCGGATATCGGATATGATGGATCGCGCCAAAATCTTACAGATTTTCCCGCCATTGTCATTTATCAATCTGGGTTCTTCAACCTAAAAATTGGATGCTCACTTTGCCAAATTCCCAAATTTACAGAATTTGAAAAATGTCCGGCGATAATTCACCGGAGGTTGGCCGAAGACGAAGCCGAGGTGCGGAGGCGTCGTCTCGGAAAGACGCACTCGAGAGGCTGAAGGCGATTCGGCAAGGGGGACTTCGGAATCTATCATCTGGTTCAGGTGGTGGGTACGATATTAGGCTGCAGAAGCCAATCTTCGATACCGTTGATGATGACGAGTACGATGCACTTGTTTCCCGTAGACGGGAGGAGGCTCGCGGGTTTGTAGTCGACGATGAGGAAGGCGGCGATTTGGGATATCTCGACGAAGGTGAGGAGGAGGACTGGTCGAAACCCAGTGGACCAGAATCGACTGATGAATCGGATGACGGTGGTAGGTTTAGTGGCAGACTTAAGAAGAAGAAAACGGAGAGGAATAAAGGGAAAGAAACAACGCCGCAACCTCAGGCGAAGAAGGTGAATCCGGCGCTTAAGGCTGCGGCTACTATCACTGGTGAAGGTAGACTTTCGTCTATGTTCACCTCTTCAAGTTTCAAGAAGGGCAAAGAGACTGATACAGGGAAATGTGAGGGTATTCTCAACGAGGTTATAGCACAGGTTACTCCAGATGATCTGGACAGGGAAAGGCATAAGAGAAGAAAACAACCAGGTACTGTTTCAATTACCATGTCCAGGAACAAAAAACTGGTTTCTGTTACCTCGAGCATGAAAGTGAAGGATTCAGAACCAAAACGCTCAATGTATGAGGGTGAACCAAAATCCTCAATGTATGAAGGTGATTGTGTTTCCATGGAGAATGAGTCGATGAAAGATTTGAAACAGGAAGATATGACAGAATCTGAAGTCATTCCTCCGTTTGATTCTGAGAATATGGAATTACCTGGAAGTGATAGTGTTATAGAGAACGGATCAAATAAGATAAGGAACGCTGAGGTGAAGACCGAGTTAGGTGTTAAGGATTTATTTACATTGAATGCAACAACTGATATGAAAGAGAAGGATCCGGCTTTAAGCGCCACTGCTGGTTGGAAGGAAGCGATGGGAAAAGGTGGAACTGAGAATGGAGCTTTACCTGGTTCTAGTTGTGAAGGGCAAACGGAATTTGATTTGGTTGCTGATGGATCACTTCGTTTCTACATTCTTGACGCTTATGAGGAGGCTTTTGGAGCTAGTATGGGCACAATATATCTATTTGGGAAGGTGAATCTCTTGGAGTTCTTTTTCACTAATTTTTAGAGTTGTTGTTTGGCGTTAATCTATATATGTATTTGGACCTCTATTTACAATTCAGGTTAAAATGGGAGATACGTACAAGAGTTGTTGTGTGGTAGTTAAGAATATCCAGAGATGTGTTTATGCTATTCCAAATGATTCCATATTTCCTTCCCATGAACTAATCACTCTCGAGCAAGAGGTGAAAGACTCTCAACTTTCTCCTGAATCCTTCCGCCGGAAATTACATGTGAGTTTGGCTAACTGTGTTACAAGCTAGGAGGAAGCATAATTTTCGCTGTTATTTATTGTATTTGGCCACTTCTCAGGAAATGGCATCAAAACTGAAGAACGAAATTGCTCAGGAATTGTTACAACTCAATGTTTCAAATTTTAGCATGACGCCTGTCAAGGTTTGGATATTTATTTATCTTTGATGTATCTAGCAGCAATACCTTGTTTGTTTTACTCTTTATTCCGCTGTTTATGGATAAACATCAGAGAAATTATGCTTTTGAGAGGCCGGATGTGCCTGCTGGTGAACAATATGTTTTGAAGATAAATTATCCGTTTAAGGTACATTTCAGCTGTGCAATAGCAAACTGAAACTCATCCTTTTTTTTTTTTCCTTTTGTTAAATTTTGTACATCTCAACACTATTGACACTTTTCTTTCGCTCTCACAGGACCGTGCACTTCCAGAAGATCTTAAAGGCGAGTCGTTCTGCGCTTTGCTCGGGTCTCATACCAGGTTCTGGCCTTCTTACTGCTTAGTTTCATTACCTTTCCCTCTGTTTGTTTAGTTGGTCAGTTAAGTTTGTATTTTTTGGTATTTTGTAGGCTTTTTGGTTAACTATGTATGCTGGCTATGTCAATTTAGCACAGTGCAATTTCCCCTCCTTATCAACATTAATTTATATGCAGTGCTTTGGAGCATTTTATTCTTAAGAGGAAGATCATGGGACCTTCTTGGCTAAAAATTTCAAACTTCTCTACTTGCTCACCTTCTGAAGGAGTATGGTCTTAAAATAATGCCATAATCATATTCTCAGTGATCTTTTAGTTCTGTTTTTCTCTAATAATGAAAGGACTTGACACTTGTGTAGGTGAGCTGGTGCAAGTTTGAGGTTACTGTTGACTTTCCCAAGGATATCACAGTTTTGGATTCAGAGGAAAAGGTGGTTCACCCTCCTGCTGTCGTTACAGCCATAAATTTAAAGACTATAGTGAATGAAAAGCAGAATATAAGCGAAGTCGTTTCTGCATCTGTTCTCTGCTTTCACAACGCCAAGGTTTGTTTTACAACATTTAAGCAAACGTTCATAGCCGTTTTTTCTTTCTCTTTGTGAAGAATATGGATACATTATCATGAAACTACTCACCAGTATGTTTTCGTACAATGTGGTTTTATATTACCACTCATTTTTGGACGATTTTTCTTGCTCAAAAGACACTTATGTCTACATTAGTAGCTTGACATATGATCTCCGTGCTCCTTGATCTTTCAGATTGACGTTCCAATGCCAGCTCCAGAAAGAAAGAGATCTGGCATTCTGAGTCATTTCACTGTTGTTAGGAATCCTGAAGGAACTGGTTACCCAATTGGTTGGAAAAAAGAAGTGGCTGACAGAAATTCAAAGAACGGCTGCAATGTTTTAAGTATTGAAAATAGGTCTGTTGCAGCTCTGTTACTAATTAGGCTATGCTTATGATCTATGTATATCTTTGGCAGTTCATGTTGCTTCGTCCAACATTTTTTTCTTTTCCTTACTGCAGTGAAAGAGCATTGCTGAACCGATTGTTTTTGGAGTTGAACAAATTGGACAGTGATGTTCTTGTGGGGCATAATATATCAGGTTTTGATCTGGATGTTCTTCTTCAAAGAGCCCAGGTAAAGGAAAAACTCTAAATACTATTAAGAAAAATTGTTGTGTCCTTACAGTTTTTTTTCTTTCTATGATGTGCTTTTTCATTTACACGTTTGAGGAACTAAAACATGACATGGACAATGTGCTGCTATTTGACTCATGTCAGTTTTGTAAGGCCTTGTTTTCCAGGCCTCTTAGATGAATTTTAACATTAATAAACCATCAAATTTTTTATGCATTGTATATCCTTTCTTCCCTTTCCCAGTCTCTCATGTTGTGATGGTGACGTAATAGAGATATGAACATTGTCTGTCTTGTTCTTTATCTGAATGATTACTACTGTGCAGGCTTGTAAAGTTCAGAGTAACATGTGGTCCAAAATTGGCCGACTCAAACGCTCTTTCATGCCTAAGCTTAAAGGAAACACTAACTTTGGGTCAGGAGCTACACCAGGGATCATGTCTTGTATTGCTGGAAGGCTCTTGTGTGATACAGATCTGTGTTCTCGTGACTTATTGAAGCAGGTATGATGCCCAACTCTTGTAAGGAGTAAGTTGAAGCTCAGTCCCTCATGTATAAGCATTTCTTTCTTGCAGGTCAGTTATTCATTGACAGACCTTTCAAAGACACAGCTAAACCGGGACAGGAAAGAGATAGCGCCTAATGATATTCCCAAAATGTTTTTGTCATCCAACACACTTGTGGAACTTGTAAGTTCTTCAATGAGCCTGCTCATGTCTATTTTACGCATGAGTTGGTACTACCACAATAGGGACGATAGGTTATGAATCCTTACAGGTGAAACAGTTTGGTGCGTATTGGTGAAGAATAAGTAATCCAGTCATACGTAGAAGTATAAGAATTGCAGATAACAGCAGTTCATGTAAGGTTGGTGAGTGATAACTGCATCTTAGTTCCTCAGTTGTTATAACCTTTTGGTTTTCTTTGTTTCAGATTGAATGTGGTGAGACAGATGCATGGTTATCCATGGAGCTCATGTTTCATCTAAGTGTTCTTCCTCTCACTCTCCAGCTTACTAACATAAGTGGCAATCTTTGGGGAAAAACACTTCAAGTAATGACTCCTTTTCTCTCTCTCTCTCTCTCTC